TAGCTCCACCTCCGATGTGGGGAGAAACAACGTAACTCAGCCTTTATAGCTCTCCCTCAGTCCAAATGCTTATTACACAAAAGACAATCACAGATAATGAACAAATGCATTTATCAAAGTAAATGCTAAAACAGAAATGAGGAAGTCTTACGGATTAGTTTAGGCAATAGAATAAAGGAAGCTTTGTGGTCTAGGAGCCAGGGTGAAATCTCAGCTCACCCAGGAAAAGAATGATCTCATTTAAGTCATAGGCTCTTAGCAATTCCTGGGGGTGCAGGGAAGGGAATTGAGGGAAATGTTTGGATGCCAGCAATGTCCTACATGGTTGTGGCTTCAGGGGCTCTGCTCATCATTCCATGTTCTCATCTTATTCCACATTGTCCTATCTCCCTCTCCTCTGCTTCTCTCTCTGTCCCTCTCTCTCCCTCCCTCCCTCTCTCCCTCTCTCTGTCTCCCCAAGGTGTCCCCAAGTATTAAAGGTAGTTGAAATTGCACTATATATGCTTATATTTGTATACATGTGTGTATATACATGCGTAGATAAGTATGTATGTATATATGTGAATACATGTGCAATATAGGTATATAGTTGTATATATATGCATACACACATACATATGTATATATGCAAGCATATATATATACACATATATGTGCGTGTGTGTATATATGTGTGTGTGTGTGTGCATACAAATGTAGGTCTACACAGTGCTAAGTCCAATTCAATCCAATAAACGTTAAGTGCCTCCTATGTGCCAGGTACTGTGTTAAGTGCCAGGGACAGTCTGATAGGTGAGAGTCTCTGCTCATAAAGAGCTTACAGTCTAATGATGGGAGATAACACACAAAAGGAAGTAGGTAAAGAGGGGGAAGATGCTGGGAGCATCTTGGTCCATGGATATGAAACCAGGCAGAGTGGTTGACGCAGGTTGGTAGAGATACAAATATGTGCCAAAAAAAAAAAGACAATCCCTTTCCTCAAAGAGCTAATTGTGGAAGACAACGTCAAAGTAGGGGCAAAGGAGAGAGGTCCCCAAACGGGGACTTGGTGGCCGAGTCTGAAGAGTCAGAAATGCAGCTCAGAGAAGGATAAATGATAGGTCATCTGGCCTCCTCCTCAAAATTGACAAGGTCTGGGAGGAATCCACCTATGAGAGAAAGAGCTGCAGGGGCAGGGGAATGTCCCAGGGTGAGAAGGCAGCTGAGATATGGTGACGAAGCCTGTAGAGTGAGCATCAGAGCTGAGAGAGGAATCATTCCACACCTGAACCATACGACATCTAGAGACAACGCCCCTGCTCCCCAAAGTGTGATCCTGAAATCTGAATTCTGAGACTGCAGAGGTTAGACCAACTTCATTTCCTTCCCTGGAGCCCAAGAGCCGTTGATGGGAGCAACCATTCACTGAGGAAATGCTCATGAATTAAGAAGCGAAATGAAAGGCGAAGCTATTGGCAGAGACATCGCATGAAACAGGCCAAATCAAAGTAAAACATCCCCAAAGGGGCGTGATGGAAATTTCCAGACCCAAAATGTCAAGTTTCTATCTCCATTTTAGATCTAGGATGTGCAATTCAGAAACTGATTAGACCAAGGGACTTCTGAAGTCCCTTTCAGCTGTGAAAGGTTATGCTTCAGAGGCTGCAGGCTGGATGCCATCTACTTGTGTGACCCTGGGAGAGTCACTTAATTCTTTGAGATTTCATTCCCTCATCTCTAAAATGGAGTTAATAATGCCCACTTCAGAGTGCTTGGGAGCAGCAAAAGAAATAGAACACTTTGAGAACTACAAAGTGCTCTAGGAAATTAAAGAATTAATAGCTTGTCTGCTCTTGAGTTATGAGAAATCTGTATTGTGACAGGAGGCTCAGATAATAGCTGATATTGGTGTTCTTTGAACATTTTCCCCATCAGAATCCCATTTGTCTTCAAGATTTCTCAGGGGATTCTCTAAAAGAAAATATGAGCTTGGGAAAAATATATATACATATTATATAGATATGTGTATATAATGTGTATATACACATGTATATTCCATTATATATGTATATTTCTTAATCCAATTAAAGATATAAATATCTTTGACTATAGGATACCCCAGAGACCTCTGATTGATGCTGATTGTTGAACATTTTTATTGATGTTTAGATAAAGGCAAAAATATATATACTTGTCTAGTGATTTGCAGATTACATACCAGTGGGAGGAATAGCTAACACATTGAGTAACAGAGTTGTGATCTCATGATCTTATCTTTTTTTTTAAGGTAATTGGGGTTAAGTGACTTGCCCAGGGTCACACAACTAGTAAGTGTCTGACGCTGCATTTGAACCCTGGTCCTCCTGACTCCAGGGCCAGTGCTGTATCCACTGTGCCACCTAGCTGCCCCCTCATAATCTCATCTTGACAGGCTAAAACATTGGACTGATTCTAATTTGTTAGAATTTAATAGGAATAAAGGTAATATCTTCAACAGGTTCAAAAAGTCAAGTTCATAGCTATAAGAGCAATAGATCGATTGATAAGCATTTCTTAGGGCCAGCATGGCATTGGCGGGATAAAGAGCTGGACTTGATGTCAGGTGGACCTAGCCAAGTTCTGCCTTTGATATGTACTGAAAGTGTGACCTTGGTCAAGGCTCTTGACCTCTCAATGATCCAGGCAACTAAGACTGAAAGTTGAAGAGAAGGTGCCTCCTCAACCAGAACTTCTCTGTACCAATGAAATAACAGATTCAGTCTCAATCCCAATGTGGGAAAAGATGGAGGAAGCATGGAGAGGAACCAATCCATCAGAAAAAAGATCTACAGATTTTAATGTATGAGTCCATAATGTGATATGGTAATAATAAACAAACAAAAAACCTTCATGAAACCATGAGCTGCCTTCAGAGAAGTATCACATCCAGGGCTATGGAAATGATGGGACAGTACTATGCTCTGCCTTGGTCAGACTCCATTGGAATATTGAGTTCAGTTCTAAATGCTACAATAAAGTAAAGATCTAGATTATCTGGAGAGCCCCAGGATGTTGGAGGCCTCAACTCCAATCCATATGAAGATCGTGAGAGCTGCCATCTTTCCATTCACTAAACTTTGTAACCACTGAATCCTCCTTGACTTCCTTCTCTCTTGCCACCTCCTGTGCCCAGTCAACTGTCTAACCTTGTCATTTCTATCTCCATCTTTGACGAGACGATGAGCGTCTGCCTTATCTTGCCTGGAAACCAGCCTCCACCTTACTGCCCAGCCACCAGCTCCAAGCCAAGCCCCTTCTCCTCTCCCCCAGCTCTTTTCTGTGTTGTCCTTTCTCATTAGAATGAAAGGTCAGGAACTATCTGTCTTGCATTTTTATCCCCAGTGCTTAGCTCAGTGCCTGGCATATAGTAAGTGTTTAATAAATGATCTCTTTCTGTCTCTATCTGTCTCTCTGTCTGTCTCTCTCCTACATTTCTGCTGTCTGTCTGTGTCTCTGTTTCTATCACTCCTCTATCTTTCCATCTATCATTTTCCCCCTTCTCTCAACTTCACTCTAATTCAAGTCTTCATCATTTTGCACCTAGATTACTACAATATTCTTTTAATAGCTCTCCCTGTTTCCAGCCCCTATCTTCTACAAGCCATCCTCCATAGCTACCAAACTAATCTTCCCAAGTTACATTTCACTGCATAAACAAAAACCTTCAGTGGCTCCTGGTTGTTTGCAGAGGTGTCATACATGTAGCTCATGGACCACGTGTGGCCCACAACCCAGATTAAAGTGTGGTTGCTGATAAGTGTGTTAATATATTAATTTAAAAAGAAATACATAAACAGGTGCTTTGCTAAGTCGATATGTAGCTTTCAGGGATCCCCATGTATGGTTTAGTGGACCCCATTTCTATTTGAACTTGACACCACTGGTCTGTAGGATAAAATGCATCTTGGCATTATGACTTTCCATCGTGTAGCTCCCATCTACCTTTCTAGCCTTATTTCATTATTCTCCCCTGAATATACTCTGTACTTCAGCCAAATTGGAATTCAGACCTTTCCCACTAGATCAATATCTCCTCTCCCACCAACACATAGTCCCCCAAACCATTCCCCATTCCTGGAGTGTGCGTATGGCATCTCTTGCCTACCTCTCTGATGTCTTCAAGATTCAACTTGGGTGCCATCTCCTCCAAACTGCCTTTTCTGATCACTACTCTTCACTCTACCCTCTCTCTTTCTCCTCAATTTTCTTTGTTCTAAATTTGTTTGTGTATATATTTATGTTCCTTGTAGAATGTAAGTTCCATGAGGGCAGGGACTCTCATGTTCATCATTTTATCTCTAGCAAGCACCCAGTACAGAGCCTGTCACAAAGTGGACACAGATGTTTGTTGAACAGATCAGTTGAAGGAATTTCCAGGTGTTCAGCCTGGAGAGAAGACTTTAGGATGCATGATAGCTATCTTTGAGTGTTGGAAGGATTATTCCATGGTGGCAGAATTAAGCTAGTTCTGCTAAACAGCAGAGGGTGGGACAATGGGTGGGTGATGGAAAGGCCCAAGAAAAGACTAGATGTTGGGAAAAGACTTGTTGACTTTTAGATCTTTCCAGGAATGGAAAGGGCTAGTGGGTCCTCACTTACTAGAAGCCTTCACTAAGACTCAATGGCCTTTTATCAGGTATGTCACAATGATAATTCTTGTTCCAGTCCTGGGTTGGGGTAGATACTCTCAGAAGTCCCTTTCACCTATGGGACCCTGCAAATAAATTCACATCTGTCTTAGTTTTCCTTAGCCCAATGGTATGCTATGGTTCTAGGTATAAAAAAACAAAGAAGAAGAGTACCCTAAACATACATGTTTTGATAACTAATCAGAATATTTATAGTAAGTACAACCATAGCGTAGTCTGGACTGTGATAATTTTGACCTTTGGAAATTAAAACACAAATCTATTGATAACAACAATAACCACAAAATAACAACAACAATAATAATAATAATTTATTTTTGTTTCCCTCCCTAGCACTTCTATAGCTTTCACTGCAATTAAAATTCTTCAGAATGCAGAGGTTTTCCAAAAGACTAAAGAAGAAGTATGTATTAAGTTATAGGCTGCTCTATTTGAGTATTGGAATTAACAGTATACCTCAAGGATGCATCCTCATCTGTGGGGATACTCCCTCCCCCGATACTGAGTATGACCCCTTCATGCCTGAGCAGACAATCTTTTCTATCTCTCTGTCGCATCAATCTGTTTCCTATTAATCTATTTGTGTGCCTCTCCACCCTGCTCCACCCCACCCCAGAATCTCACTATGCCCAAATCTTGATGAAATAGCTTAATTCCTGAATATTGGGGAAGTCTTGGCAAAACTATTTTGCCTGGTTATTGGCCTTCCTTGGACAAAGGGAGTGAATCTACTCTCCTTTTGACCCAGCAAGTGAACTCACATTAATAACTGGGGAGATGTCAATCAAATCTGGGGAAATAGTTTTGCCAAGACTTCCCAAACATCCAATAATAAATCTACTTCATCAAAACTTTAGGATCTTAGATGTAGAGCTGGAAGGCCCCAGGAGGCATCCAGTCCAAGTTCCTCATTTTACAGATGAGGAAACTGGGGCCCAGATGTGACCTACCCACAGTCACACAGCTAGGAAGTGGCATCTCTTAATTGCTTAGCTTACAATAGGCCCCTTGATAAATGTGGGCTGATCTTTGTATCTCCCATTGCTCCACTCAGTATCTCACCCCTCTTTTCCCCATTGCTTCAAAATATGGCATCAAAGTACAGGGTGCTCCTTTGGCTGGTGTGGTGATGGATGGTGTGTTAGGCACTGTATCCAGCAGGGGAACGTCACTCTCACTGTCTTTTGATTACTTTAGGTTTATGAGAACCCGGATGAGCTGGACTCCCTAGAGCCTCTTGGGATGTTGGCCCGAGAACATCTGAACATTCATATGTGGCTGAAGTGCCGCCTGGCTTTGCTGGTGGCCTCTGTGGCACACATCCGTGGCATGGGGTTCTTGAAAGGTACAAATAAACACCCGCCCTAGGGAGAACGTTTTGGGCTGAACTATATATTTCTCATATGGGAATAGTGTTTTTAGTGGGATATACATTAGATTTTGTAATTTCTGAGCTTGGGCTAGATTGGGAACTCAAGTCATGGGTTCTAATGTTGTTTCTGACTCTGACAAGCCATATAACTTAATAAGGGACAGAAGGAGGAAGGAAGGAGGAAAAAAGGAAGTAAGGCAATGAGTATTTTTATTAAGCACCTATTATGTGTCAGGCACTCTACTAAGCACTTTGCAAATATTTGTTCCTCCAATAACCCTGGGGCATAGGTACTTCTAGTACTATTTTGCAGTTCAGGAGACTGAGGCAGGTAGAAGTTAAATGACTTGTCCTGGGTCACACAGCTAGTAAGTGTCTGAGGCCAGATTTGAACTCAAGTTTTCCTGATGCCGGGTACTCCATCCATATGCCTTGGGAAGTAGATTAATCTCACATGGTTGACTCTGTTCCAACTCTTTCAGGGAGGGTCTGTCAAATTGTATCCCACTCGGGCTTCTTGGGGACCCAGAAAGGGTGGAGGATCCTTTTTCCTCTGCCATGGGATTGAGTCCCCACTAATCATGTTCCCCCATTTTCTAAGGTTCAGTGACTAACACCTGAGTTCCATTTAATCACTCAACATTGGATTAGCTTTTACAAGTGGAGATTTACTTCCAAGAGGTAGCAAGAATAAACAAGCAAACATTTTCCCCAACATGTTGGGGCATACTATTGTTCTGTACCAACTATAGTGAGGGGAGCAGGATTAGGCTCACAGCTTAACTCAATTCCAACATAGCATTGATCTCACCGAGTTCAGTATGGCTTCTGTTGGATTGGAGTCCCAGGACCCTCAATTCTTAGGACATTGCTACTGGACTGGCTGCATCATCTGGCCTTGACCCTCAATGACTGGGTTCCTGTGTTCACAGAGATTCCACTCCCTGCACTTCAAACAAAAACAGAAACAGAAACAGAAACAAAAGAATGAGAAGGTCAAAGACCTAGGATCTGAGAGCCATATGTCCTCAGGAGAAAAGGGAGGACCTAAGGCCCTCCTCACTTACCATTTGGTCACACTGGCTTTGGGTAGAGTCTCCTCCTCCCTTGGACATAAATGCCACCAAAGGCCAGGGGTGGTTTTAAAGATGGTGACAGTCCTGACTATGCAGCCAACAGAAAAATGCAGCTCCAACCAAGGTGGCAGACCACCACTGAATGTCCATGTAGTACACTCTAGTTCTCTAGTTTCCCAGAAGCAGCCCTCTGGAGGCTTCCACGTGGATGATGCCTTTTTAGCTTCTGAGCACATACCAAATCCTCATTACCATAATATTTGAATTGCTTTGAGATCTTTGCGCAGATCAAATAGATTAATGTATGTAAAGGGCTCCTACCCCTTTTATTCCAAGGGTGTGTGCTGGGGGCGGAGGGGAAGGAGCAAGGGAGAAGCAGGATGTCCTTCGCTTCCTTACAACTCGTAATTCATTTTTCCAGAGAAAGTGTTATAAATAAAGGGTGAGAGTGGTAGAAATAGTCCAGGTTACATACTCTGCCTTAACTATATTCTTTGCTAAATTTTGGGGATTGGCCAAAGACAGTAATGTGATTGTTTCCATAATTGTTTCTACGGGGAAATGCATTCTTAGTGCCAAACAGCTAATAATCAAAGCACAACAGGGTTATCGGTTGGAGACTTAGGTCTATTTTAAATTAATTCCCAGTTCAGATTTTTGGATTCTTAGAGTGTCACAACTGAAAGTACCTTAGAGCTCCTCAAATCTAGTCCTTTCATTTTACAGATGAGGAGAACGAGTCCTAGAAAGTTAAAACTGACTTGCCCAAGGTCACTCAGATACTTAATAGTTTATACTGACCTACATCTGTCTCTTAAACTAAATATTTCATTTTAATTGTGTTGTTTATTTGAAACATGGAAGCCCATTAAAGCGCTTTCTCATTAGTTACAATAAGTGTCTTGAAAATGTCTCGTATATCGCACGTTTGTTAACAATCCAATTATCATGTCAACACTACATTATGCGACATCCCTATAACAAACGTTAGGGGTATCATCCACATTTTTTTGGCCTTTGTTCTAATTCTGCAGTTTCTAAGTGCGCTGTCACTAAGTATATTTGCTTGTTTCTTTTAGAAAATGAGGTGACCGACTGCAGACACCTGATAAATGAAGTGCTCGTGGAGGCACGGGACTGGAACGACACTGAGATGCAAGCAGAGGTGTTGGTGCAAGCCGTCAAGCTTGACCTGCAAGAGAGGCACACGGCAGCTGAGATCATAAAACATCTGAGGGTACAGAAAGAAGGACCCTTAGATTATTTTGTAAACAATTATCTCAGTTCAACCACATAAAACTTACTCCATTGGGGATAGGGAGGAGGAGTGGTCTATTCTTATGTTTTCATTCATATGAGGACCTCCTATTGTGGAAGACCCCTCTACTAATACAAATTGGTTATGCCTTTGTCATTTATAGTCTTGGGCCATTGAGAGTCTGAGTGACTTGTAGAGGTCACATACCCAGTAGGCATCAGAGGCAGGATGTAAAACTAATTAGTTCCCAACTTCAAGGAAAGCCTCTAACCCCCACACCCTATTCTTTAACTAGCTGTTCAAGTTGCATAAGGTTCTGGATGCAGAGTAAATAAACAGCATCTATTACTATCTGGATAAATTTACTACTAAACAATTTTCAAATTTTTTTAATAGGACATAATCAATTTACTTGAAGGGAAACCCTTCATTTCTCCTCGAGGCTCGTTAATACTTGTGAAAAGCCTGGTGTTAATGGATGACTTACTGAAAATTGAGGAACCCCAGAAATATCTCTCTCCTGGAAATGAAAATTTCAATTTATTAAATCAGGCTCATGCTCTTATTATTGAACAGGTGAGAATACAGTTCTTTCTGCAGGACTCAGAAATTTCCCCTGCCCTTCCCGACCCATGACTCTGTCAAGTTACCCTCTCAAACCGTTGCTGTCTGTCTTACAGGCTCTATCTTTGGGTGAAACGATTAGATTGGCTTCTTCAGACTCTGATTATGCAAATATCATGTACCCTTTGAGAAACATTTATCTTCCATATATCAACTTAATGGCAAAAGTGAAGATGAGAATTGGTAAGGAAATTTAAATATGTCATTGCATTAGAATGACAGATCAAAAGAGTTAATTGTAAGTTAGTGTTTTGTAGGTAGGTTGTGGGAGCTTATGCAAAAAGGATGATTTCACTGATCATTGTGTAGATGTAACATAAATCATTATAACATATTCTTTTTCAAGAAGCTCATACTTCTCAAAACTTCCCCTCTCCCTTCAAGGGTTCAGATATTGCATATTTATATTTGTAAAATGAAGGGCCATGTGTTATTATTTAATTTTAAATGGGACCAGAGGCACACACACACAATTTTGCACACACATTTTAACATCTCCTAAAAATCCATTTTGTCATCTTCCTAATTCAACTCCTATTCTTGATTTCTCTCTTTTTGACTATTATACCATGATGTAGTCATTCTTCCAAGTTACCTGGGCTCAAAATCTTGACATCACCCTCGAATTGCCTATTACCTTTATCACCCTGGGGAAAGGAAACCTGGATTTAACAACCACTAGGCTCTCCTTCCAGCTCTGGATCTAAGATCTTGCAGTTCTGATGAAAAAAAAATGCACCATAATCCTATAGAGTCAGGGAAAGCACCAACAGGTGGGGGAATCAAAAAAGGCTTTATGTAGAAGGTGGCGCTTGAACTGCATCTTGAAGGAAGAGCTGGCTTCTGTGAAGCCTAGTTGAGGACAGAGGTCATTTCTGGTGTGGATGAGGGGTGGTGCAAAAGGGGCCTTGGGAATAATTAAGTCAAGCCCCTTATTGTGCAGACTAGAAGCTGAGGGGTGTCGAGACACGAAATGTCTTGCTCAAAGTCACCCAGCTGGTAAATGGTGAAGCTGGGACACAAATTCAAGATGTGATCCTAAGTTTGGGACTTTTTCTGCTATGCCACATGGCTACTACTCCTATTCAATGCTTGGTTTTCTAGGACTCTTCCATTGCTTTCCAGTTCCTCTGCCTTAGGCTCCATTCTCCTACTCCCATGTGTCCTGATCTTCAGCCCAAGGGCTTGCCCACCATTTTGGCTTTTGTTCTGGATGCCAGTCTTTGGCTAAGAGCCTCAGGTCTCTATCTTCATATTTCCATGGTCCCATTTCTTGGATCTTAGCTGCGTGAACATGCCCTCCAATGGAATGGGTCATCTATGCCTTTTTCTCCAGTGCCCTTCCTAAAGGCAGCTAGGTGGTATGATAGAAAGAAGGCTGAGCCTAGAGTCAGGAAGACCCGAGTTCAAATGTGACCTCAGATTTACTCCTGGTAGACCTACTACTTCCTGCCCTCTTCTCCTTGTAGTCTCTCCAATCTTAAAAAGGAGAATTTTTCTATTTTTTTCTCTTAATGAGACAAATCCTTTTAAAATAAAGTGTCTCATATGCTAGGATGAATTTTATTTACAAGAACATAAAGCTTGTGATGATGTCCTGGCAAGGGTAATTGTCAAGACCCTTAAATTATTTCACTTTGTCTACTTAACTGGCCATTTTGACTCATAGTGTATCTGTGCCTGTTAACAAATTACAAATCACACAGCTGTTCATATTATATCATAACAGTTTGGGCTAAATCACCTATGGATTTTGAAGACGCCTTTTCATCAGTGAGATTCAGTTGCTAAAATTGAGCAATATGTCTCTCACCTCCTTTTAATTCATCTAAGTGCTAAAGCATCACACTATCGCCTGTTAACCATGAGCGCATCATTTATATCTATATATACGTGTGTATATAATGTCATATGTGTATGCATTTATAGAAAGCATGGCCATATACTGTATAATATATTTATATATTTATATAAAGCATGGTTTATATATACGTGTATATAGAGAGCACCAGTGACAAGTTTAAATTTTCTTTTAAATGTCACACTTATAGATGTACAGCTGTCTGCCTAAAGTAGTCTAATATTTTAAATTCTGAAGTCTCAAGGAATATGAGGAGTAAATGGTTTAGTTGAAACATTGCCCCTGAAATTGTGCCACAGAGGTCAGCAATTTCAAGCCTGCCATCTGCCTTGTTGATTTATAGTATTTGTATGTATATGTATGTGTGTGTACATATACACATACATATTGTTATCAATTCTCCATCCTTAAACAGAAGGCCACTGATCTTCTAAGGGGTATATGGATGGCAGAATTCAATGATGTAAAGATAACTTTGATAGGTTGGAATGGAAATATCATAGGCAAAACAAAAGGATTTAGGTAATTTTATATATTTTTGAGCTCTTAAAGTTGTAAATTGTTGAGGGGTAGATTTCAGAAAATAGTACCAGTTCACCTCCTGGTAATTCATTTGTCATGATGCTACTTCAAGGAAGGGTCAAAAATATAAACACAATTATTTATTCAGAAACGCATCTAAAGGGACATCGTTATAATGATTTGGATTGTTTCTCTAGTGGCAAAAATGGCCAAAGTAACTCCATTACAAATCACAGAAAAATTGTACAGTGGTTTTGGGCTCACTGTTCCTAGGCAGAAAATAATTAGTGGTATCTCCATTAATCAACGTCTGATTTCTCTTCTTCTTGATTTTAGTCATTTGTTTAAATCACCCTTCTTGGTTCATTACTGTCACACAAGGTAACGTGCTTGAATTTCACAACTCCTTGTGACTTGTCACTCTCTGATATCATCTCAGAATAACATTTATCCAAAAGACACATGATTTTAAATATCTCTGTAGGGATTATCCTTTGCAGGAGAGCAAGAGCCAGGATCCTGATTAATGAATTGACTAATGGCTGTCTCCCAGTTTCCTCCAATTAATCTGAGTGACAGGTGTGTGTCATGAAGAGGTCTCTAGGCCTGGCTTGCTCTTCTTTTCACCATGGCCCATGGGAAGCTTGCCCTTTGATGGGTATTTTTGGCCAGTGCTTCAGCTTTCTGAATTTATAGTAAATAGAAACTTTCTCTTCAAAAAGGAACTCTGCTCCAGAGGCCTCAGGATGGAAAATGCTGTTCACATCCAAAGAAAGAAGTATGGAAGTCAAATCGCTTTCACTTATTTTTACCTTCAGTTGAGTTTTGTTTCATGTTTCTGATGGTTCCTCCTATTGGTTTTAATTTTTACTTACAACTTTACTAATGTGAAAATATGTTTAATGGGTATGTAAATGTAAAGCCTATGTCAGATTGTGCGCCATCTTGGGGAGGGTGGGGGAGGGGAGAAAAAGGGAGAAAAAAATTTCAACTCAAAAGCATATGGAAAAAATAAAAAAAGAAAAAAAAAAGAAAAGTAAAAAAAAAAAAAACAAGCGGAAAAGAAACAAACAAACAAAAAAAACCAAAAAGGAACTCTGGTCCTTATTGCTGCCTTTAAGGCTTATCTCGTGCCACCATTCAAAGGGCACTGGATTTGGAATACAAGGTTCTGGGTTCAACTGTTGCATCTGCTATGCTTTAGCAGTATGACCTTAGGCAAATTACTTTTCTCAGGGCCTCTGTTTCCCCATCTGAAAGGGTTGGGGAATATGACTTCCAAGATCCTTTCTGCCTCCCAGCTGATGATGCTGTGATTCTCTGAATAAAAACACCATTTAATTAAGGACATGATACACAAAGATGCCCACTTATGGCATTTGTCCCTTAATGAGCCTTGTGGCTACTTGTTGGTGTGTTTGGTAGGGAGCCTATGCATATGGCATGGGCATTGTGTGGCATTTTCTGGTACCCTGGACCCTTGCTACAGCGAAGTATACAATGTTTTTACTTTATTAGAAATTATTTTATTTAGTCAAAATGTCACTAAATAATCCTTATTCCGCCGACTTCTAAGTTCTGGAAATTGACATCAATAACATTTTCTAAATGACATTGGAGACATTTCTTGGAGACATTTGGGCCCATTTATTCTCTCTACTATAGAAATCTAGAAATCAGTCAAGGATTTATTAAGCCCCTATCATGTGCTCGTGTGCTAGGCACTAGAGATGCGAGTAAAAAGAATGAACCAATCTTCATTCACAAGGACTTAGATTCTATTGGAGACAGGGCCATAGACAGATGTATAAAGCATAAATGTAAAGCTAAGTCAACAAGTGTTTATTAGACACCCCTATCGATGTGCCTTGCACTCTGCTAATCACCAAGGATTCAAACAAAGGCAAAAAAACCCAAACCCAACCCCCCAGTCCAATCTGTCCTTGTTCTCAAGGAGCCTGTAGTCTAGTGGGATCAATACGTACAAAGTGTTTCTGTAGAAGGCAGTTAGGAATCAGGAAAGGCTTCATTTGAAAGATAGTGCCAGAACTGCAGTTAAAGGAAGAGAAGGACATTCCTGCCAGGCATATTGGCTGGACTTGTGGCTGAATGGCCGCGTGCTGGATGGGAAGGAAATTCCGCTGAGGCTGGAAAGGTTGGGACCAAGAGCGGTTAACAGTCAATTAGTAAACAAGCATTTCCTGAGAGCCCAGCATGTGCCAAGCACTGGAGATACAAGGAAAGGGGAAAACACTGTCCCTGTGTGCTCTCCAAGGAGCCCACATTCCAGTGAGGAAAACCACATGCAAAAAAACCTCCAAGAAAAAAACAAAACAGAACAAAAATCGATCAAACAAAACAAACAAAATTTAAAAAAAACCCTCTAAGAGAGAAGAAAAATGCATAAGGGATGGATATGGGGGGGGGGGACAAAGCATTAACCTTGGAGTCAAGGTGAGTCTGGGCATAACCCCTCTGGGCCTCAGTCTCCTCATCTGCAGGATGAAGTTTTAGATTTATTAATCTAATAGGTCCCTTCCAAATCTAGGATCCAGTGAGAGGCACTACATAAGAATTATTTCCCTGGACTTTTAACACCACAATCGAGCCATTATTACATCTGATTTAGCTGGAAGTTAAAAGCTCACAATGTGTGAAACCAAACATATATTTGTCTGTTACGCCTTAAGAACTTGAAAACCTGTCACCCCTCAAGATGACAGCATGGCTGCTGTAATTTGAGGGACTCATTACAGCTTGTTTCTGTTACCTTGCATTGAATACAGATTTAGAAAACAAATCCAAGAACGGCTTTTTTGTCAAAACAACATCAGCTCCTACAATTTCTAGTTTATTGAAAAGAATGGGGCTGTTTGCCTTCCTGATGTATCAATATTATGCAGCATAATGCATGTGACACTCTTTGCCTGATAGGAAACGTAAGCTTTCTTTTATAGTGACAATATAGATCCCGTCCCCAGAATGTGGTGGGCTCTAAAGAAAGGATTCATGTTCCTAAAGCCTTCAGCGGAAAGACGTCTTGTGGTTTTATTTCTAGAAGCCGAGAAATGATGGGCATCAATGATATTGTCAGTTTGCTCTTAAATTGGTGTACTGACATTATTCTACATTAGTATATTTTTATCGGACAGTAATTTTAATGGGAAGTGAATACCAAACACCTGAGACTTATTTTTTTTCCCAGTTTTATCAAATATGTTCCCACATTCCAGAGTTTTGTCGTGGCCTCTGGAAAACCGGGTCCTTGAAGGCTCTGTCCCTCACAAACTGAGCTCTGTTGGACCTTTCCAAGCTAGAAGGGAATTGAATACAGGCAAGGCAAAGATGACATCATGTCTTCTATGGATCAACCTAGCTAAGTTCCGAGAGTCTCATCACTGCAAAGCCAACCTCTGAATGATGCCAACCTCTCAGACTGTTCACTATGGTGGGGAAGGCTTGTCATCTCCACTCATGGATCAATTATCCGCACCAATAAGACAGTGTGATTGGATATCTACTTCTTTACCCGACATGTGTTTCCTAAAGATGAATATTAAAATTGTACAAAAACAGCTGTATCAAAGAGTACTATATATATATGTGTGTATGTGTGTATACATATACATACACAAACATGTGCATACATACACACATGTGTGTATATATACATGTATATGCACACACCAATACACATATGAATGTGTGTGTATATGTATTCTTCCCCCTGTGAAGGTCTGCCTGTCTCTTCATGACCCCATTTTCTCAGCAAAGATACTGGAGTGGTTGGCCATTTCCTTCTGCAGCTCATTTTACAGATAAGAAAACTGAGGCAACCAGGGTTAAGTGACTTGCCCAGGGTCACACAGCTAGTAAATGTCTGAGGCCGGTTTTGAACTCAGATTTTCCTGACTTCAGGCCTGGAGCTCTATCCACTGTATCACCTAGCTGCCCACATTATATTAATTTAGACCAATTAATTATTTATGAGGCAGTGAAGGGCACAGTGGATAGAGTGCTGGACCTGGAGACGGGAAGATCTGAGTTCCAATGTGGCCTCAGACACTAGCTATACGACCCTGGACAAGTCTTATTTAATCCTCATTTGTCTCCGTTTCCTCATCTTTAAAATGGAGATAATAACAACTCCCACCTATAAAGGAGGGATCAAATATGACGATATTTGTGAAGAGCTTAGCACATAGTAGGTGATATTTTGATGCTTATTCCCTTCTTTTCCCTTTCCTACAACATCTGACTCCTGTGGTGTTATGGGAGGCACTGTGGTCTAATGCAAAGAACATTGGCCTTGGAGTCACGGTCATTGAGTTTGAGTTATGGCTTGGCCACTGATATCTAAATGATCTCGGGCAGGTTGCTTATGAGCGTCTCTGGGCCTCGGTTTCCTCATCTATAAACAATGAAGGGTCGTGTCAAACTAAAAGAAACTAATCCAGTGCGCCACATATTAACTTAGAAAACCAAAACTCAATATTATCTAGGTCATCTGTTTACTTTTTAAAACATTTCCCAATGGCATTTTAGTCTGGTTTGGGCTGCACTTAGGAGTTTTGCAGGCTCCCAGTATAAATTTCTAGACCAAATGGCCTCTACATTCCCCTCCAGCTCTGAATCTGTGATTCTGTGATTTAAAACATTATGAGAAATTTAAAGATATTTGAAAATGCTCGGAACATGTAAGTTTTGAATCATTGATTTTGTGGTCGACAAAAGCTGTCATACATTGACCGTTGATAAAGCAAAATGAGGGCGTTCAATTCCTCTCCCATAGGGACCTGGCAAGGAGTTCACTTCCAGTCCTTTTCAGCCATGGCAGAACCCCTTGATGGGTCAGGGCCCAGTCTGTTGGGGGATGAGGCACTCAGAATGCCTTGACTGGCTTCTCCAACAATGGCATCAGTCACACATGACCGTTGTAGCCAGCCCTATGTTCTTGTTCCCAGGGTCTCTGTCTCTATCCTCAATCCTTGGCATTTTTTTTTCAGATCCACTCAGTTGGTTACATTTCTTCTTTTTTCTTATCGATAAATTTGAGAGGGCAGATTTTTCCCATAGCCTGGATCTCAAAGCCGTGTCCAAGCATGGTGGGCAGAGAAAGAAAAAAGATGAGGGGCCACTCTGGAAGGGCCGCTATTTGAAAGGTGAATCAGGAGAAGCCAGAGAGGAGTGAGTTCTCTGGTGGCTATCAGTGACTGAGCTATTTGGCTTTTAAAGCACAGTCTGATTCATGCTTTTTTATAGGGTTGAAAGGGTTAATAAAACAAATGCAAGTTTGTAAAAAAAAATGGGGGGAGTCTGTTTAAGAGCATTTTAATATCTCTGCTAATTCCACACTGTATCCTGAATCAGGTCCTGTGGTCTCTCTAGCCTCCCCTCTGAACGATGCTGACTTCCTCTTCTCCTTTCAGTTTTCCCAGCCTCCATGATCAGTGACTCGATCCCTTCTCCTTCTCTGACATACTTCACAGGCTCTTCTCACACAGTTATTCCCTGATTCGAGCCCTATTTTTATCTCGGCCTGGTCTGTTTGCAGACATCTATATGCCTCCCAGTCTTGCTTTGCTTCTCCAATTGGTCTGTTGAGTTGACTGCCCAGTGGATATTGACTATTCTTCTCAGGGTTCTGGGGCAAGCCTATGGGTGGCTACTCCCCAAACATTTCCCAACACTGTATGTTGCCTTTCAGCTTTCACTGGTGTGATTTCTGTTAACAGTCAGGAGAATGAATTAGCTTTTACCAAGGCATTTAATCAAATGGCATTTTAAGAACAAAGCATTCTTCTCAGTACTTGGTACACACTCTTCCACACATATATGCCCATCAGGATTTGAACTCAGTTCTTCCTCACTCAGAAGCCAGCCCTTTATTTACTTAGGATCTTTAAATAAAATCTTTAGGAAAAAAGAAAACCTTTATAGAAGAACTGGAAATTGTCAAGTCCCACAAGACACTTTAACCATACTAGTTAGGGATGACCTTCCTTTAGAAGATGACCTTCTGATATGGGGCAGCTAGGTGATGCGATGGATAGAGCACTGGCCCTGCAGTCAGGAGGACCTGAGTTCAAATCAGACCTCAGACACTTGACACTTACTAGCTGTGTGTGACCCTGGGCAAGTCATTTAACCCCATTGCCTAGTGAAAAAAACCCAACCATCCAAACAAAAAGATTACTCTGACCTTCTGGAAAGTTTGCTCTTCTAGCAAATGGCATTTCTGTCTTAATTTTTAAAAATTTATTGTGGCCCTATTTTCCATTCCAGCTCATATGTTAGCCAAGCAAGTAGCTTCCTCTGGAAAAAGAGATCCTTCTCAATGGGCACCTGCCATTCATCTCTTTGAGATAGCATTGTATCATTGTAGGACAGCTGCGATACAAGAAGGTGAATTAGAGGCTGAAATCCTTTTTGAGAAAGGTAAGGACTATTGGGTGTCTTGGGTATAATGAATTCATATCATAAGTAGCTTTCCTCCATTTCTCTGATGCAAATCCTTTCTCCAGTCGTTGACATGTTTTCATGGTGGCTAGGTGGGGCAGTGCTCAGCGTGTTGAACTCGGAATCGGGACAACCTGAGTTCAAATCCTGTCTCAGACACTTACCAAGTTCATGACCTTGGGCAAGTGACTCAGACTTTCAGCCTCAGCTTTCTCATCAGTGAAATACTGATGATAATAATAGCAACTACTTTATAGGATTATTGTGAGGATGAAATGAGATAGTGTGTAAAGTAGCTCACATATCTTGAAGGATGACATAAATGACATTATCATGCAGGAGTTACTGATGGGAAAAGTACTCGTACCTCTGTCATTCTTAATGTGAGATAAAACAACTATATTTCAAGTTTGTCTGAAAATCCTGGCTCTTATTAATGTTTATATTATTCACATGGAAGATTCAGTTCCATGTTAAACTTATATACACTAACATCTGATGCTTGGCTAATGTGGTAAGCAGCTAGGTGACCTGGTAGATAGAGTTCAGGACCTGGAACCAGGAAGACCTTATTTGTACCTCAGACATGTATTAGTTGTGTGCCAGCCTCAGTTCCTTCATTGGTAAAATGGGTATAATAGTAAGTGAGATAATATTTTGTAAAGGGCTTTGCAGACCTTAAAGTGCTCCATAAATACCTGCTATTATTAATGTTGGGAAGAGGCTCCCCACCCCTATCCCCACCCTGTCATCTTAGCCATCCATTTTTATTACTCTCCAGATGAACTGTTTGTAGCACATGTGTGCTACTTGTGGACACTACTCTGCCCATAGACTCTTTCATCGGTGGGGCTCACTCTTCACTAATGCAGATTGCAGCTTCTCTGTGTCTTAGTAGCTGGTCTTTGGGAGTGGCTGAAAAAACCATCCCTTTGCAGCCAACCTCGTGGTGAGCTTTTTAGGGAACCTAGCAGGGCTGGTGCTTGGACTGTTAACCCCTATTCTGTCCATCTATACTGGATGCCTGTCCATCTCGGGGTGGGATGGGGTAGAGCTGATAAAGCTTGTGCTTGTCAGGCAGAGTCTCTGGGATCCCTGGTCTAGTTCATGCCCTGATGAGGCATCCAAAGAGAACTGTAATGGAGGATGTGCACATCCACACACATATCATAGGGCCAATTTTTAAAAATAAATCTGTGATTAGCAGCTTAACATTAAACATCAATACTTATGAACCATTCATATTTCATAATGATGATAATGATGATGATAGCTAACAAAGCACTTACTATGTGCCAGGCACTGTGCTAAGCACATTTAAATCAAGGTGAAAGCATAAAGTATACTTTTTAAAATCAGGATCCTTTGTCCATATTTCTTACATATATAAGCACATATATATTTTTCATACTGAATTTAACCAACAAAAATGAGTTTTTCCATATATAGTTACAGAATCTTTTTGGATTTGTACCCTCCTGCCACAAAAAGAAAGCACAAAAAGAGGATTATTGTTTGTACCACTTTTTAAAAAAAGTATAGAATACATTGTACACATTGTTTTCAAAACTGTTCTGTTTGTCTGTGCTTCTGTATATTCATTCATTCCCATTCACTTTTTCTCATATGCCCATTAGACTGTGAGCTCCATGAAGGCAGGAACTGTCTTTTGCCTTTCTTTGTATATTCCTAACACTTAGCATAGTGCCCAGTACATGCCAGGTACTGAATAAATGTTTGTTGACTTAGTAACTGACAGTATATGCTTCATTTTCCTGGCTCTGCTCTTCCCCCTTTGTATTATTTCTTGAAGCCTTTCTGGATTTCTTTTTATGCTACACAATTGCATTATAGAATTCCATCACATTAATGTAACCCATTTATTTAACTGTTCCCTCTGTTATTAGATACTTTGATTGCTTTCAGGTAGTTTTTTTTTTCCAATTACATATAATGGTGCCATAAAAATTTTTTGATTGATAACTTTTTAAATGCTTGATTGTTGTCAGAAAATATTGCCCCAAATAGAATGATTGGTTTGAGGGATGTATTTATTTTCGTAGTTTTTACTATATACTGCCAGACTGTTCTCTAAAAAGACGCTGTAGCTTTATAATTCCACCAGCAACGAGTGAGTGTACCAGTTTCTCTATAACCTTGAAAGTGTTGAGTTTTTATTTTTCACCAATTTGGTGGGCATGAGGTTGCTTTGATTATTAGTGAGACACTACTTTTTTTCTAGTGATCATCAACAATTTATGTTTCCTCTTTTAATGATTGTTCATCTCCTTTAGCCGTTTATGTAACATGAACCAGGAGTTTTCATTACGATTTTTAAAACATTTCCTTTTATGTTTAGGTTCAAGGTTTTTTTTTTTGTTTCTTTGTTTGTCATATTTCCATGACTGGCTTTTATGGCAATATTCTGATCCTTATGTGTTCATTTTTCTTGCCTTTCTCTGAAGTCTTGGTGCTGCACCATCACGAGTGATGCCTTTGAAAAGATCAAGGGAACAAACTTAGTTCTAAGCCAAGCAGTGAACTCTCCCAGGAGACCTGGGAAGGGCCACATGAAGGGACTGAAGTGTTTCCATTGATTGGATGATGTTACCAAGGACTGCTTTTTAATTTATTTTGCTCTATTTTGGTCTACATTTTTTACCCTGTTAAACAAGGTAGACACTAAAGAAGCCATAGTTAGGGAAAGGAGAAATAGAAGGGGAGGAGAGAAACAAAGCATGAATGTAGGAAGAGCGGTGAGGGGGTGAGGATAACAATTGTGGAAAAGACTTGGGAACAAAAGAGATACACTGGAATAGTTGATTAATTGTTCAGTGGCCTCTGTCCATCTGATGGCTCGGAAGCAAACAGACTTCCTCATCAGGCAACAGTTGTTGTGACCTTGAATTTTTCTGAGAACGCTGTAAGTAGTCCTTCCCTACCATGAGCCTTTTTGCCAAGAGAAAGATCAGAAAGAGCATTTGGTTTTCTAATTTCCCAACATGAGATGTTAGGGGCCCAAATGAAGCTTTAATGCCTACTTTCCCCCTTTCTTATCTTTCAGGCAAATTAGAACGTCAAACATTTACTGAAGATGAGACAACACAGATAGCTAATGATCTTTTTGATGCTATAAAAACAAGTCTGAAAAATGATCAAAATATAAGGTAAAAAAAATCAACATATCTTTCCATTGTAGCAGTTTGTATGTTTGGCCTTTTGCCTTGCCCTTCTTTGGGGAGAACTAGACTATTCAAGTCAGAAATGGTTGTGCAACCTCTTCATGTCAGCTCTGGGTCACTAGCATATATCTTCTTTAGTAACTCAAGGAATTTCTGGTTAACAAGTGTGCTCATTTGGTTGTCAACCACAAATTTCAGCTCTGCTCTAGGACTTAGCTCATGAGGATGGCCTGTGATGATGCCCTTCCCAACAGGGACTCAACGATTATTACACTAGAGGACAAACAGTGTTATTAAACTCTTGAGGCCACTTGGTAGACTCTACTTTGCAGTACAGGTGCATACATCTCCTAGGCCATGTCTTAGACCTGAGGTAAACTGTCCTGTCCCAAGAGCTGTCCCTGTGGTGCAAGTACTGAAGAAGAATAGGCCTAGAAGAGTTTCCTAGAAGATCTAGTCTGGGTCAGGACTAGAACCCAACTAAGCTGGAAGGGGTAAAAGAGATCCTGGCATCACCTGGTCTCCTTGAAAGCCTAGTATCAGCCTGCACAACCTCCCCATGGTTATTTTTAATTTTTTTTTAATGTTCTACACTATCACGAAAAGGCTCACTTGGTTCTATATATGGGGTAAGAGGGTACCCTGGCTCCAAGGTTTACCAGCATATATTTAGTTGCAATAGAATAGAGGTACTTGATCTGGGGTTCACAGATCCTCTAGATCTTATGGGGTTTGTGAACTTGGAGGACAAAAAAAATAGGTCTTGATTTTCACTAATCTGTAGCTGAAATTTAGCATTTTTTTCAATTATAAATTAAAAAAAAATTCTGAGGGTTCCATATGCTTCACCAAGGTACCAAAAGGGTCCATGACACAAAAAGAGCTGAAACCCCCCAGCACGAGAAGGTTATAGCACTTTTCTAAAGCATTGTCATTTTAGGTGTCAGAGAACCAATGGTAGCAGCCATGACCCCTGGGGAAAAAAGAGGGGAAGAGGGCTGGGGGAAGAAGTGCAGTACAGATGATCTGATGTCACCAGCTCCCTCTCTTCATGAAGTGATTGGCTACAAAAGCACTCGCTATGCAGCAGGTGCTGTGCTAAGTGCTGGGGAACCAAAGAAGTACAACAAAACATGTCCTGCCCTCAAGGAGCTCACAGTCTTTCTGGGAGAAAGCATGCAAGCAGCTGTGTGCAAATAGGGGCCAGGTGACGCCATAGTGCACAGAGCACTGGGTCTGGAGTCAGGAAGATTCATCTTAGTGAGTTCAAATCCAGCCTCAGACACTTACTAGCTGTGTCTCCCTGGGAAAGTCACTTATCCCTGTTTGCCTCAGTTTCCTCACCTGTAAAATGAGCCGGAGAAGGAAATGGCAAACCACCCCAGTACCTTTGCCAAGAAGACCTCAAGTGGGGTCACAGAGAGTTGGACACGCCTGAAACTACTGGACAACAGTAATGTACAAATAAGATCTTTACAGAGTAAATTGGAAGTCGTGAACAGAGGGGAAGTTCTGGAATTAGGAGGATCAGGAAAGGCTTTCTGTAGAAGTTGGGATTTTAGCTGGGATTTGAAGAAAATCAGGGAAGTCAGGAGGCAGAGATGAGGCGGCAGCAGAAGGGATTGCATGATAATGAATTGTTAAACTACTCTGAAATTCTACAACTTTTTTTTTTTAGGTTGATAAGGAAATCCTACCTGGAAATAGCCCTATTATATTTACATATGGAGAATCTTAAGAAATGTCAGGTAATTTCATTACTTTATGAGCTGCTTTGGGGTTTGTTGTATTTATATACAATGTGGGCATCAAGTAACGAAGATGATTTTCACCCATGGCTTGTGGAAATAGTTGCTTTTCTAAGCTTCTGTAATCATGGTCCCAGGAGCACAGAGTGACTTAGATGCATGGTGATGCAAATATTTAGGATGACTTGTTTTTTCACCACTTATAGACCCCTGAAGGATTGGGTGCCTAGCTATACTAAGCCCTACTCAATCTTGCTGATTTTTGCAGGGATCCATCCATCTACTTAAAACTGCTCCACTATACCAGGGAAGGGAAGGGAACCAGTGTTTATTAAGCACCTACTATGTGCCAGCCACTGTGCTAAGTGCATTATTTGATCCTTGTAACAACCCCAAGAGGCAGGTGCTATTTTTATCCCCGCTTTATAGCTGAATAAACTGAGTCAGACAAATGTTAGGGGACTTGTCCAGGGTTACACAACCAGACTCAGGCCTACCTGCCATGAGCGACTGAATTAGAAAATAAAAGATCTTATTCAAATCTTGGTGGTTCTTACACATGTTTCATCATCTTTCTGGACTTTTTTTTATATGTTGACTTTATTCAACCTTCTGAAACTGTCGGGCATTTATTGAATTCAGGGATTTATTGAATTCGCCTCATATGAGGTACCAAACCAAACAAAGAAACAGAAAAGAAAACAAAAAACTCCATAAAGTAGTTGCCATAGAGATTGTTCTATGGAATGTCTACCTATATGTATATGTATGTACATTTTTATGTGTGTATGAATATATGCCCTTATGTATAAGTAGGTGCTCAAAAAATTGTATTGGATTGTATAAGTCCTATCACAGAAGTAAGGAGCTGAAAGGAGCTGAATTCAGGCAGCCCCTTTATTTTTAGATACACCTGTATTTATAGCAGGATAAAAAAAAATTAAATTGCTCCTTTTCGTAGATACAGGAAGAAGACAGTGGGTGAATGCCCAGCTAATATTGGAAAGAGGCCTGCAACTTGTTATTTTAAAGCTTGTTATCCTTCCCTGAGTCTGGAGCATTCCACCTGAACTTTGACTTACTACCCTCACCCCTTGCCCCCAGACAACCTACAAATGACCACATTTTCCAAACACTCTGCATAGCTCTGAGTTGAGAGAGGTCCTTGGCTTTTCCCCATCCTTCCTTTAGCATGTGTACAGCTAGATCCAATGAGTGTAAATAATGAATCCCTGGCTGGCACCAGTTGCCATAATTTACAGGCAATCACTTCAGGGGATTCATTATTTGTACCCTCTGAGACCTCGCTGTGTTCTGGTGAGGGCATACAGACAACGAGATACCAGACAGGGCTGTAGATTCAGTTTGAACAGATCCCACTTGAAGAAATGGATCTTAGGAAATTCGGTTTTCTCTTCTCTAGAAATCTTAACACACCCAACTCCTAATTCTTAACATTAGCTGGGAGCAGAAATTGTAAGGACATGGATCTGATCTGTCTTGATTTTGCCAATTGTAGGGTAGCAGACCCTCCAAGAGAGATACCAAGGTAGACAGAAGGGCAATCCATGCCAGTGTGGGAATATATATGTAGATGTATTAGGGTTTATTAGGTTAATTGGGGGAGTGTACTCAGGGGGCCAGGCAGGAGGACTGAATCGTAGGTCTCCATCCCACCCTTAGACCAAGTTAGATATAGCTAGATAGACAGATAAATATCAATACTGATAGATAGACAGACAGATAGATATCAATACAGATAGATACACAAATATTGATATGGACAGACAGATAGATATTGATCCAGATAGATAGACGTATAGATAGATACAGATGCAGATATATAAATAGAACAAAGAAGGCACAGTGCCTGGGATGACTCCAGGTCATGTGCACCCATCCCATGGGATAGTTAGAGCTTCTTTCGATGTTTACATTCATTCAAGGTAGCTTACATTAACTGTGGAGTCATAGATCATATTCTCACATTTCCACCATATAGAAATGGTTAAATTAAATATTCAATTAATTTAAAAAACACATATAAATCTCATTTTAGTCATACATTTACACTTGTTTCTCATATCAATTATTACTAATAATAACTAATATTTATATAGCAGCCTGTGGTTTGCAAAATATTTTGTGTGTATACATTATTTCATATGACCAATCAGTTGAATTGTCCAATTTGAGTTTTTATCTACTTCCCCTGCCTCTTTTTAGCATTTATACTAAAGATCTATGAATTGATCAAAAGTGGGGAGCTAGGGGGCACCATAGTGCATAGAGCGCCAGGCCTGGAGTCAGGAAGACTCTTCTACCTGAGTTCAAATCTGGCCTCGGACACTCACTAGCTGTGTGACCCTGGGCAAGTCACTTAACCCTGTTTGCCTCAGTTTCCTCATCTGTAAAATGAACTGGAGAAAGAAATGGCAAACCATGCCAGTATCTTTGCCAAGAAAACCCCAAGTGGGATCACAAAGAATCACACACAATTGAAAGGACCACTACAACAAGCAATGAAAAGGTGAGGTAGGGGGCCCAGGTGACCCAGTACTGAATAGTCAACATAGCACATTTGAGATGGGGGCAATTACTGGGTAGTATTTTTCTCAGTCATCTTTTAAATCTAAAAAAACCAAACCCAACAACTTTTAAAATTGATCCAGTTTCAGTATGAGTACTTATGAAATGCCACTTCCATCCTCACAACTGTAGCACCGTGCTACCATCTGGTAGACTGTGGAGTAAGGACGCTGTGCTGGAAAGCAGTCCTGCCCTCCAGAAGCCGACATTCTCCTGGAATGTTCTAGATGTGTTGCAGAATATGTTGTCATTCTTTTTAATGTCTGTCCTTTGAAATTTCCTACCTTCTGGAAGAGAGAAATCTCCATCTGAAAAATCAATGAAAATGCTCCTCTACTCTTCTTTTTAAAACCATTCCAGGAAAATCTGTGGTATAGTTGCCCCTTTAAACATTTTCCCAAATGAAAACTCATACAAAGGACCACGTACCAGTGGGCCTCAGGACAGTGCTGTTTTCTCACATTTTCCCATTTAACATGCTCCCAGCCCAGAATCTGCAAATCTTTAGCTGGCTTGACTAGAGGAGACCATCCTTAAGAGACAAGAAGCCTAGGACTTTTCAATGGCCAACTTCCTATCTTCACCAGAGACATTTTGGCCATTTTTTTTAGGCTTCTTCCCAAATCCAAAGCCCGTCAAAGGAGTCCACAGAAGAGAAGGGTGGTCTGTACCTGACACTGTCCTGGATGGCAATCCGAGCTGCTACACAGGTGGGTGGCGCAGGCTTTAATCTTCCTCTGTAACCTCAGATCTATAGTCGGCTCCTACCAGCTGCCAAAGAAACACAGTGCAGCTAGTTAGTTACACGAGAGAAAGCTGAAGTCAGACTCCCTGGGATTTCTGCTGGTCTGATGTTCTCCCGAACAGTTGAAAATGGACCCCGTCTGAGCAGTGCCTTTAATCAAAGCTCACCAGGCCTCACTCTGTGCTCCAGCCTTTATTTAATGAAAATATCAGGAGATGTTTGTGTGTGGATGTTGGATAGGAGGGCAAATATCAATCACATACAGAGGAAATGATTTGTGCATTCATTAAATTGTCAACAACAATGACTGATTTGACCATGGCTTGAATTTGGGCGGGGGGAAGGGGGTCAAAGCAGGCTTTCTAGGTTGTCCTTATTTTTTTCCCTTTAGAACACGATGCATACATAGAGTTTTGTTTTGTGATTCCCCTTTTCACAGATGGTTTACTTGCCTATGTTTATAAAAATGTGCTGTGCATAAATATAGAATGGATTCTAAGGGATTTGTTAATTATAGGTCAGTAAAGCAGCAAAAGAAGCTCAGAAGCTACTTGGACGAAAGAATATTTTGATGGAGAAAATTAAAATGGTCCTCTTGCAGAATATCCCAGAATTTGCTGTTGTGGACCTCACTTCTACATATATAGATTATTTGACTGGTATGCTCATTTGTCAAATCAGTTTCCTGTATAAGGCTGGGATATGTAACCATGTATCAGGGATTTGATTATACTTTAAAAAAATTAAATCTGTAATGGCCTAGAGCTGGGGTTCTTAACCTTTTTTGGGGGGGTCATAAACCCCTCTTTAGCAATCTAGTGGAGCCTCTGAACCATTTCTCAGAATAATTTTTAAATGCATAAAATAAAATATACAGGATTACAAAGGAAACCAATTATAGTGAAATATCATTATTAAAGCATTAACAAAACAAGTTCATGGACCCCAGGTTAAGAATTTCTGTTCTAAACTCAGGCTGAATCAGCATTTCAGGCTCTCATTGAGGGATCCTTACTCTTTTTTTATGTACTGAATGAACCCCTCTGACAGTGTTTGGTAAAATCTTTGGACTCCTTCTCAGATTCATGTTTTTAAGTGCGTAAGGTGAAATATGTAGGATTACAAAGAAATCAATTATATTGAAACAGTAAATTATTAAAGAAACAAATTTGTGATGTGACAATATATATGCTTTTTTTCTTATCACATTGAATAATGAGAAAATATGTTTAAGGTATAGGCAAATTAAAGAGTCCAATAACTACAGTAATTTCTAAGTAGTGAGCAGTTTAAACAATATTTTGACACATCTTCAACAGATGTAACATAGCATGAAAATATCTGTGGTTTCTCTTGGTGACAAAACCACAGGTCTTGCTAATACGGCCATGCTTCCTTGCCTACATTTATCATGGAAAGAAATGCTAAATTTCAGTTAGAGGCTAGGGAAGAATATGGTTGTCATATTTTCCCCACACAAGTTCACAGGCCTCCTGAAATCTAAGAGCCTCTGGCCTAAGGGGACTTGGAAAGGCAGAACACAGAACTTGGTCATAAGAATCAGTGGATTCTGTTTCCTACATTCATGCTGTTGAAAACTACATGGAATAGCTCTCATCTTTCCACATACCACTTGTCTAATACTTGATGACCACCATCTTGTCCTTCCTAAATCTAGGCTTTAAATTCCCAATTCCTTCTACGGTATCTTAGCTAACATTGTATTTCCAGATCCCTTGCCTTATCGATATTAACCAATTTGTCAGTGGCCATCATAACGCCCTGTATTCTAAATGTTAGGCCATCAAAAAGTACCGTGGGACTATCACCTTACTCACTGGGGACATGAATTCAGTGAAACACATTAGCAGAAAAGAAAGGTCAGGAGACTAGCTTTTTATTCAGAGCAATCCACATATGGAGAGGTGGAAGGAGGGGTCCAGCGAGTCATGTATAAATAAGCAATTGCAAAAGGATGATTTGTGCAGGAGTAAAGAATCCAAACAAGCCTAGTGATAACCTCCTTCCTGCGTGAGATATGCCAGAAAGCTTTAGCTGGTTCCCTAAGTTGGAGCTATAAACACAGCCGTGAGGACACAGTGATTCAGGTATATTGGACCACCTTCCAGTTCGGTTCAATAAATGCAGAGATGGATTTTTAACACTTTAGGGACCTGTGATTTTGTGGGGTCTCCCTTCTGCCAATGCAGATCTCAACCTTTCTGTGTCAGAGTAAACAGTCTTTTTGGAAAAAAAATACTCATCAACAAACACAGACATTTCAATATGCAAAACAAAGAACAATTTTCAATGCCAAAAACAGTCATAGAAAGAACAACTCTGAAAAACTTCAAAGTCAGCAATCCTGGTAAACAATTATAGCCAAACCATGTACACCCTGCAGCTAGCCTGGTAATGAGCCTCCTTGTACTCATGCACTGTTGAATTGGCACAAAGCTTTTCCATCATATTGTAAATTTTTTCAGGAGTAAAGAATCCTTGCAACCCTGACAGTAACGCCCTGACTTCTTTAAATAGGCCAGAAAGTTTCAGCCAGTTCCCTAAGTTACATCTTGTCTACCCAGCCCTGAAAGCCACAGCAACCCAGCCATAGTGGGCCGCCTTTCAGTCCCTTTAGATGTAAGCCTTTCTGGTGTGCAATTCATTTTTATAGCTCGATGTTCCTTACCATTTGAACTTCCAGTTAGTAAAATGATCATAATTTTCTTTAAATAGTGGTAAGTAAAATGATAATAGGTTTTCCTTACCCCCATGATTGAAGCTGCCACCAAAGAATATAAGCATCTTTTGGGATGAAATAAATGAGTTCTGGAAGTTATTTTTAATAAAAACAAAGTTGCACTAGAACTTTTATCTATCTATCTATCAATCTATCAATCTATCTATTTATTTATTTGTTTGTTTGTTTGTTTGTTTGTTTATTTGTTAGCTAGCTATAAAGCTGTCTTCAAGTCCCCCTTTTCCTCTCTAAGCCAATCTGACAACATCCCGGACAATTCAAGTTTGGAACAAGATCTCAAAACCACTGATAATGAAGAAAGCGAAGAGCGGAATGAGCCAGATATCTCCTGGGTCCATCTGGTCTATTACTATACTCAACTGTTAAGAATTAACAACATGAACACCGTGCTTGGTGAGCTATGGGGGCAGGGCAGTGGTTTCCTCAGAACTCTTCTTGATTCTCCGTCTTAGCTTACCCCTCACCCATAGCAACAAGAACAACAATAACAGAAAGCACGTATGAAACCTCACAGCACTTTTTCCTCATCTGACCCTTACTAGAACCCTGGGAGTTAGGTGTTATTATCATGCCCATTTTGTAGATGAGGGAACTGAGGATAAGAAAGATTCAGTGAGATGCCCAGAGTCACACAGCTAGTGAGTGTCAGAGGCAAGATTTGGACCTGGGTCTTCTGGGCTCCTAACCCAACAGTCTTTCCATTGGGACACCTAGCTGCCTACTAGCAAGTCCCTCTGGCGAAACAAAGAAACCTATGATTTAATTTGGGTGGGGGACTCCCATTGTGGAACTTCTCTTCACCAGATTTCATACTGTGACATATAAAAAGTTCAAGAGACATAATTTCTGGGTAATTAATCATTTTATTAATTATGCTAGCAGATGATTAATAAAAGGGTCATTTGGCTGTCTCTCCTAAACCAAAGACCCCTCACAGAACCCACTCAATGCTTACCTGCCCTTGGAAGAGTGAGTGTTCCTGAGGGGGGAAATCAACTCTGATTGGTTAACAAGTAATGAGAGAATGAATATTATAATGAGAGCAGGCTTATTCTAATGAGTGTCTGGGGGATGTGACTGATCACTCAGTATTAGTCAAAGAGACTTAGCTTGACCAATGTCACTCCATCTAGGATAATCTAGACAAAACTCAATGGGCCTGAATCTACCAATTTACCTAAATTAGAATTTCTTTACTTTTTGATCACATCCAAGTTTTCCATCTCATTATCAGCCCTGTACTTCAAAGGCTGCCTGAATAACCTATAGGGGCTGATTTCTGAATGAGGCTATAGAAAAGGGGAAAACTTTAGTCCTCATTCAATAATAGGTTATTAATATAAGAAAGAAATGGTCATTTCTTTCAAGATCAACAATTTTTCTGTAACTTGTGGTCTTAGAGGATTGTGATGGGCACCTAGTGATTAAGTGACCTATTCATGTACACGGAGTTAGTGTTTGTCAGACAGAAGAAGGATTTTACCTCAGATTGGCCAAGGCCAGACTTCTGTCTACTACTCTATTTGCCTCTAGATTATTACAGTGCAAATATAAGGATGTAATGTGTTCTAATTTAATTTATACCCAGCACCTTGTTAAAACTTCATGCCCACTCAGCCTTGTAAAGCAACAGAAATACATACTAGTAGATGTGATATTTTCCTCTAATGTCACCCATTTCTTTTAAATTAATATTCCTTAAGTAGCATCTAGAAATGATCATCTTAGAAATTATCTTGACTGATTTACATTTGCCTGTTTCCCAAATCTTATAAGAGGATGCACCCGTCACTCTTGCCCATAAATCAGTGCTGAGGTTTAGGCATCAAGGGGCTGATGATCAGGGTTAGGAACTCGGATTAGGAGCAGCCACCCCAGTCCAAGAGCCAGCGATGGGATAGATAAGCAAGCCAGAGAGGCAAAGCCAGACACCAAGAAGGAGAGCCATGTCTCTAGGAGGCCAGCAGCAAGCGATATGTCTGGGAACCAGCAACATACAACAAGTGAAGGGCTAATGTGTCAGGACAGTCTCAGACAAGGAGTTGCTAGCTTTCAATGTACAAGGGAACGGCGAGTTGAGAAACACCCATGGATGAAGAGGGCTGAAAGCAGTTTAATGATCTACCTCCTGACTTTTCTACTGTTCCTGCTTGGCAGGAGATAATTCTGTTAGATCTGATGCAGGCCCTGTTGCCAGGGCTGATCGAACTACCCTAAAGTAGGTGGAATGGGAGCGGAGTGTTAACAGTAGCTGTTGGGAAGGAAATTTTCCTGCTGGGTTAAGTTTAGCAATCTAGATGCCCTCCTTTACGTGGCCATTCCGTTAGCGAATGCATTGCCTAATTAAAGTCTTTTTTTTCCTTTTTTTAAGCTTCTCCAAAGCCAATTTTCTTAGCAGATGAGATATTCCACACTTCCGTTTTCAATGAAGATCTGATTTTACGTCACAAAGAATTGCACAGTTTCCTCAAAAAATTCTTACATGTTTTTACGTCAACCTGTATTGAACCATTTCCAAAAGACCTTCCTCTTGGGATAGAAAAATCATTCGATGAAAAATTCCCATGTAGGGACTCACTTAAGGTACCAATTGTTTAAAAAATGATCTTTGTGTTCCTGAAGAGAACCGGGAAAACTCTAGCAGGTGTCAGGAGGCCTTGTTATTCATTTCTGAGAAGTATTGAGGTCTACCTTGAAAGTCTTGGGTACCCTCTTCCCCCTCCCTTTTCTAGCTTCTTTCCATGTGTGGTCTCCCTGATTAGATTGCAAACTCCTTGAAAGCAGGGGCTGTCTTTTGCCTTTCTTTGTATCTCTAGTACTTAGCACAGTGCCTGGCACATATTAGTTAAGTATTTATTGACTGACTGACTCTATTGTGTCCTAGACCACTAGAGTGAAAGTTAGGAAAACTGGCTTAACACCATGACCCTGGTCCTGTCCCTGAGTTTCTGAATCTGTGATAATTATGCCTCCCCTTCTACTTGAACAAGCAAGACCATAGACTCAACTCCAGTGCTAGAAAGAGCTTCAGAGGTCATCTGATCCAAACCCTATCACTTTACAGATGAGGAAACCAAGGGCCAGTAGCCTTAAGTGGTTTGCCCAAGGTCACACAGTTGTATTAGAGGTGGGGTTTTAATCCAAGACCTTTGACTCCAGAAGTGTCCTCGAGCCATGTGTTGAAGGGAATTGTTGAGGTTGTTAAGTAAAACCATGTGGTCATAGATGATAGATTTACAGCTTGAAGGAACGTCCCAGGCCATCTGGCCAAAGCACCTCATGTTGCAGAGATGAGGAAGTTCAGGCCCAATGAGGTTGTTGAGTTGGCCAAGGTCATGTGGGGAGTAAGTATTGAAGCCAGGGCTTCTGGATGATAGATCTTCTTTTCTATCTCCTTTTGATGGGCATAAAGAGCTTGGGATTGTATTTGTTAGAACACTGGGAAGGAAGGCTCTAGGTAAGTCACATCCCCTTGGGCTGAGCTGCCTTCCCTGCCTTCCCCTACCCTTTTACAACCTGACTCCAGTTGTCTTACTCCGTGTCCTTCAAGTACTCTATGGTCCTGCAACACCGGCCTTCTTGGGGCTCCTCACACAAGACCCTCCACCTCCCAACTCGAGGCCACAGGTTCCCCACCTCTGACCTAGAGCAAGTCCCTTAAACTCCGTGGGCCTCAGTTTCTTTATCTGTATAAGAAGGGAATTGGATTAAATGACCTCCAAGGTCCCTTCCAGCTCTTGTGATTTCTGAATTCCATGAACTCCAAGTTAATATTGCATGTCTCCCAAACCAACAAAACTACAATCCAGACCTTTCCCACTGCCCAAAAAGAAGAAAATCCAAAAAGTGAAGAAAGGAAGAATGCTGTATCTTTGGAGCTTTTCCCACAGAAAGGTTAAAGGGAATGATTAGACAAAATAAAGTCACTGAAAACTTTGTAGAAAGAAGTTATTTTAAAGGACCTCTAGTAAGGTCTCTGAATAGGCAGCAGAGGAGCAGTGCTTGAAGATGTAGCCGCATCACCTATTTATAAACATTTCTCCTATGCGCCTGCCTCCTGCCAGTTACTAAGTATGTGATGTTCTCATAGAATATGAAATCTTGTTCTATCGATATTATATTCAGCATGTATTTTTCTGAAAATTTAAAATCTCTCATTGGCTCCAAGGAGTTTTTTAGATTTTGGACCTAATGCCTATTAGACAGACTGTAAGTTCCATTAAGGCAGGGACAGGACTTTATCTAAATTTTGTAGCTCCCCCAGTACCTACTACAGTGCTCTGCACAATTCAATAAATGTTTGTTCATTTTATATAGATCTACATATGACAGCTAGAATGCTTTTCTCCCCTCAAACAGCTATATAATATAGTGCTGTGCTGAGCCTAGAGTCAGGAAGACCTGAGTTCAAATCCAGCCTCAGACACTTACTAGCTGTGTGACCCTGGGCAAGACACTTAACCTCTGCCTCTGTGTCTTCAACTCCTAAAATGGGTATAAAAATAGTACCTACCTCCCAGGGGCTGTTGTGAAGATCAAAGGAGATAATATTTGTAAAGCGCTTAGCATAGTACCTAGCACACAGTAGTGCTATTTAAGAAATACTTTTCCTTTCCTTCCTTCCTTCCTTCCTTCCTTCCTTCCTTCCTTCCTTCCTTCCTTCCTTCCTTCCTTCCTTCCTTCCTTCCTTTCTTCCTTCCTCTTTCCTTCCTTTCTTCCTCTTTCCTTCCTTCCTTTCTTCTTTCCCTCCTTCCTTCCTTTCTTCCTTCCATCCATCCCAGGAAAAGCATGGTTTTTAAATGTTGCTAACTCTGCCATCCATTTAAAAACTATTCTTTAGTAAATGGAGTAGATTGTCAATATGAAGTTGAGGGATTTTTTAAATCATTCATTCATTCAACAAATATTAAGCAATTTGTATGTGTCAGGCACTGTTTTGGGCCCTGGGGGTACAAAGACAAAACAAAACCAACCCCCACCCCCCAAATTCCAACTTCTATAAGAAGCTTTTCTTTGTCTGCCTTAATGCTAGTTCCTTCCCTCTGAGATTCTGTCCAATTTATCTTGTATGTGTTTTGTTCATTTGTCCATTGTTATTTTCATTGTTTCTACTCCAGTTAGAATGTGAGCTTCTTGAAGACAGGGGACTGTTTTTGCCTTTTTTGTGTACCTGCTTTGCTTTAACACAGTGATTGGTTGATTGAAATCAGTCCCTGCCCTCATTGAGCATTCTACAGAGGGAAAACAACATATGCATGAATAATAGAAAATAGATAAAATTTGTTTTGGGAGAGTATGGTACTAGCACCTGAGGGGATTCAGGGTTGGCTCCATGTACGAAGTAGCCCTTGAGCTGAGCTTTGAAGGAAACTAGGTGTTTTATGAGAGGAAACAGAGGAGGGAATAGAAGGGCACAGAGATACCAAAAATTGCCAGCATTTATATATCCAGTTAAGATTTGTAAACTTCCTTATACATTATCTTGTTTGATCCTCACACCAAGCAGTGCAGTTGGTACTGTAGTGGGAATTTTAGATTTTAAATTTCTTTTTGTTAATTTATATTATTTGTGGCTTAGGATCCTTCTTTCTGCAGCTTCTGGCTAACTGAAAGCCTGTCTTCTGTTAATATTAACCTTACCTGACCAAAATCTGTCTCTGAGAGGCAAACAGGGACACACCCTGTAAGTGTTTGAGGTCAGATTTGAACTCAGGAAGATAAGTTTTCCTAACTCCAGTCCTCGCATTCCCATAACAGTGCTATTATTATCCCCATTTCACAGATGGGGAAGCAAGAGAGGTCAAGTGACTTGACAGAGCTAGTGAGGGTCTGAGACAGGAGCTCAGGCCATCCTGACCCCCCAGTTCAAGCTTCTGTCCTCTGTACTGCCTTGATGCCCTGTGATGGGAGATGGAATCCTCACTATGGGACAATTTAAGGAATGTTAAGAATTCATCCGAAAGATCCATTCTCCTGAGCATATGTGTCAAAGTTGGGAAATTTCTCCAAACCTTTCAAATCCTGCTCTGAAAGTTGCTGCGCTGGAATATTTCGGAGTGGAGGACAACGTATCATTACCCAGTTCCTAAGGATGAGGCACCAAATGTGCAACCTTGAATAAACTGTAAATATCTGTGACAATTATAACAGCAGTAGTGTATCAAAGAGTTGTTTCACTCTGTTTGCTCTTCTTCTGATATAATTAGTATAACACTCTCCTAGGATAATCAGCTTGGGAGATCACTGTCATATGCATGACAGGTGCAAGCCGAGTAATCATGTGTTAGTTTCACTGGTGTAGACAGCTAACAAGCAGAAAGCTTTTTGGATTTTTTTTTTCATCAACTCTAAGCTTCGTTGATTTTTGTAATAACATTTATTTTTGAGGCTTTAATCACTCAGCAAGCTATTTCAATCAAACCCTTTCTGTAATTGGATACTTAAACCTGCTCCCCCCACCCCCCACCCCCCGGCACAAAGCAGTAATGACTTTCTCCAAAAAGAACATTGTTTTGTGTTCACCAGCTCCCACCATCTCTGTGTGTCTGCATATTTTTGAGTCTATTGAAGCTTTATGATGGAGAAACAAAGGTGCCAAACAAACGACATTAACAGTTCCAGAAGAGGATGTAATTAAAATCCAGTAGGCTGCTGAAGTATTCATGCCTAGATTTCACAGCCCTCTAGTGACAGTTCCTGGGGAGGGGGAGGTGGAGATTGGAGAGAATTAGGGTTAAAGTTAGATAAGGGCTAATAAATGCAAACCACATACTCTCTCTATTGTGTTGATTGTGGGCTAGGGCAGGTTGACTTTCAAAGACTAAAAAAGCCTATTAAAAGTAACTGCAAGGTAGCCCATTAATTAGCACTACATTAAACTCATTAGTCACAATAGCTTGCACTTACATAGGTTTATGAAGCACTTTACATAAGTTAACTTCTTTGCTCTCAATAGTCAGTCCATAAACTTTTGCCTGCTATGTGCCAAGCACTGTGTTAAGGGGTAGGGCTATTGGGCAGGTAGGTGGCGCTGCAGTGGATTTAGTGGTGGGCCTGGAATTAGGAGGACCTGAGTTCAAATCTGACCTCAGACACTTACTAGCTGTGTGACCCTGGGCAAGTCACTTAACCTCAATTGCCTCCAAAAATTAATTAAAAAAAAAAAGAACAAGGCAGTTGTAGCCCTTAAGGAGCTGACAGTCTAATGGAGGAAACAAAATTCAAACAACACACAAACAAGCCATACATAGGATCAATTGTTGATAATCAACAGGGGGAAGGCACAAGTACTGGAGATTGGGAAAGGCTGCTGGTAGAAGGTAGGATTTTAGCTGGAACTTGAAGGAAGCCATTATTACCCCCATTTTACAGATGAGGAAACTGAGACACTGCAGGTGGAGTGACTTAGCCAGCGTCAACACAAGTAGTAAGTATTTGCAGTAGAATCTGAACTCAGAGATCTTCCTGATTCCAAGTTATATTTTGTTATTTTCAATTTAATGGAAAACTGTGGGTCTGGATTGCTTTTGAATCCTCTGACAATTCATTGTTACACTTCCGGGCTAACAACCGTTTTGTATGTGGGCTCGAGGTTTGACTGTTGTTGTCTTTCAAACTTCTCTGGACATTTGATGAGTATCTCAACAGAGTTAGTGGATTCATTGTGGGCCAGCTGTAGAGAAATGAGCTCTTCTCCTGGATCGCAATTGATATGGGATCCTTTTGCCTGCTGGCTCAGGAGTGAGTTGCCTGGGACCAAGTCACCTTGATTTGCAAACTTGTTTAGGGGCCATTTAAGAGTTTAATCTTCTTCACTGTACTCCTGGGTCCCACTTGTATCTTTCTGCTGCTTAGTTAGGCAAAGGTCTTGGATTTTACAGTCTCTTTTTCCCGACAGTTCCTTAAGATCTATTTTTGACACATTTCCACATTCAATACGGTAGCTCTCCATCAAAGCATTTTTCATCTCACAGGCGGACAACTTGAAAGGTCAGCATCTATTTCCATTTTTCATTTGAGGCCTCACACTGACAGTGTTGCCTGTATCTTTTTCCTGAATAGGCAGTGGAATAATGTGAGGGATAACAGAACCACACCAGGAGTGCCCACCTGAAGCTCCTTCTCAGGCTGGACACTTAACCCTGAGATGCATCAGTTTCAGTGGATTTGAAAAATGCTACTTACAAATACTCTCCTTTCCCCCTCCCACCCCCAACAAGGAGTTAATTCCACAAAGCCCTCTGAACATCATTGAGGAAGATCTTTACAAAAAAATGAAGGGTATTGTTGGAGGTTATTGCAGGCCCTGTGATCACCCTGTTTCTCTGGGCCTGATATTTAACACTATGTGGTGCCCTCGTAGTTCTCAGAGAACCCAGTGAATTGTTTATGGCAATGCCAATTTGACCCCACACATTTGTGTTTCTCCAGCAATACTGATTCCGGGCTCATGTTCCCTAAAAGAAGCTGTACTTCTTTGATAGCCTGAGTGTCTCTGGATTCACCCCAGCCAGCGATCACAAATCAGCCATTCTGTTAACAAGAGCAACACACCATAACCCCTAAGAGCAGAATGCTGTCTTTTGTGTATGGGTCCAAAATCTACAGAGTCATGGATGCTGCTGTCACCAAGCAACTCATACACTGGGAAAAACTTGCCAGTCTGTGCGCTAGTGGTTGAGCCACAAAGGGCATTTTTCAGGAGCTGTGGTGCTATTCATATGGAAAAGGACCAGTTGGGCCTTTCTCTTTCTCTCTCTCTGCCCTCTCCCAAGCCCCTCTCCAGACATCATCCTCAAGATCTGATTAACTCTCCATAAAGGGAGGCATTTGCTAACTGACTCCTGTCTTTCTATTCTAGAGTTTTGATTGATTGGGTTTTTTCTTTTGTTTCTGATGGTCAGGATAGCCTTCTTGGAGGAGGGGTGGGGTCAATCTAGGTGCTGTTGATATTGTAGGATCCAAGGACGTACCCTTTTCCCAGCCTGGGAAAATTTCTAAAGTTTCCAGAGGGCTGAGTGATCATTGCTTCTCATCTATCCCAAGTTTATCAGTCTACTTCTAAATCCCCACTACAGGGGAAAATGTTTCAAAGTGCTGGTAGCTCAAGGCCATGGAGTTCTGATTGCTTTCTGTAAGAGGCCAAACCAAAAGGAGATTTTTCTGCACATGTTTCTTCTGGAGATCTTTTCTTTTTCCCCCCAGGACTGCTAAATTTGGAGACATAAAACCTGGGTTTGAACACCAGCCCTGGGTCACAGTCTCCTCATCTATAAAATGGATAGATTGGATCTGGTGACTAATTGAGGTCCCTTCAAGCTCCAAGTCTGTATCCAATGGCCCTAAAGTGCCTCATGTTCATGAAATGCTGTATAAATGTCAGACAAGGCTCGGAGGACCAATTGCAGAACCTTAAAGCATTAAAGATGATTATGGTTATTATTACCTGAAAATTGATGCCCCAAGATAAAGTTATTTCTGATGAATGCTTGTCTCCCCCACAATTCAGAGCAGGGAAGAATAATAAATAAGAGGTGCTTTCATTAGGATGGCCCCTCAGGTCATCTTCAGCACCCCAAGATCCCACTAATTCTATTACCCTATCATTTTTTTTGTTTTATTTTGTTTTAATTTTATTTTTTTTCTAATATTGATGACCTCTCCCTAACAAGGACTATGACAATAGACCTTTTGGTAGTTTCCATATGATTATTAATACCATGCCGGGAAGCAGTTGATTTGGCATTTTGGTGGCCAGTTCTAGTACCATGGTCATCCTGAGCACTGAGAGAGGTAGCCTGCTAAAGTTGGAATCACAGGACCTGGATACAAATTCCAGTTCTGCTGCCCCTAAGCCATGTGATCCTAACCTCTCTGGGCCTCCATTTTTTAATCTCTCCAAAAGAGGGAGATAAAAGAGATGATCTCTGGGGTCTCTTCAAGCTCTAAATCTGATCCTAGGAAGTTCTAGGATCTAGTTACTTTCATTGGCTGTGTGGAAATGAAGGTCTTGGCTTTCGACAGATGTGAAAGCTCAGTTGCCTTTAAAAAATAAGCTCTTATAGCTCCCTGTGTCATGTAGAAAGGGTAGTTTTTATATGCAATGGGAAAAGGAGCTATGCTGCAACAAATAAACAGAAAATTGTTCATTTAATTTTTTGAGTATTTGAAGCTTTTACAGGCATTAACCAAACGTCAGAAAAAGTACACAACATGGTTAGAAAGTGGAATATTTGTTTTGAAAAAAACCTAAAGGAGTAGAGAACCTAGTTCCCCCCAGTGACAATTATTGCTTTCATAATAAACACTACAAATTACAAGCAGATTTAACCAGCAGTTTTTGAAGATATGGCAAAATGGTGGCGATGAGGTAGGCTTAGCAGAGGTATAGCCTTCCAGGGGAAGGAAACATACCCCAGAATTCTCTGATGTTTCTGAACTTCTAGGACACTCTAGGACAAAGCCCTTATCACCTCTCCCTTGCTACAGCTCTTCTTACAAGGATTAACTCATGTTGCATCAAAAATATAAGCATAATGAATCAACAGCAAAATATAAGTGTGAGAGCCTGGCCCCAGCCTTGTAGTGTTCGGAACCCAAACAGTTTAAATGTTATAATTCTATCTCTGCTATTGAGAATTGGTTAATAATATCGATTTACAGAAAAGAAGAGAAAAAGTGATTCTGAGTTTGGGTTTCCTAATGTAATGGATGACAAATGGATTGTCTTCCACAAGAAGCCTTTTCAGACACCTATAATGCTAATGCCTTTTCTGTAAGATTATCTCCATTTTACCCTATTGGTATCTTGTCTGTCCATAGTCACTTGCGTGGTGTCTCCCCTTTGGACTCTGAGCTCCTTGAGGGTAGGGCCTCTGTGTGTGTGTGTGTGTGTGTGTGTGTGTGTGTGTGTGTATGTGACTTTCTTTGTATTCCTGGTGCTTACAGTGGTGCCTGACACATAGTAGGTACTTAATAAATGATTGTTGACTTCACAAGTTTTATGCTGGGCAGAGAAGGTAGAAACCTCTAAGTTTTGATTCTCAGCTTTATTTTCATGGCATATCAATGGAGGGTTCTCATCGAGCAAACTCATGTAAAGTATAGATTATAATTTCAATGAAACTTCCTTTTTCTATATTAAACTTGTTCACATATAATACTTAGGGGATGATTAGGGATATAAGGGAGGTGGTGCAGAAAGGAAGTTTCAGGTGAAGTTATTCTTGCAAAATAGGAGAGAAATCAACATAATATGACAAGTCTAATTGTTTTCAAATGTTGGGGTGGGAGGGATGGCTGGGAGTGTGACAAAAAGGCAGAAGAATCTCTAACTGATCCCTTTCTTTCAACAGATGGATCAGGAAATATCTGTGATAGCAGAAAAATTTGCAGCCTCTAAGAACTCCCTAACTCCTCCAGACTTAACAGATTTTGCTGTATATACTATAAGCAAAGATCTTTGCTTTCAGTGGTACCTACCCCCTCTAGAAAAATCTCCAAAGGAAACAGAACCTATGGTGAGCTAACAGAATTATACAAAGTTTTATTGTTGTTATTGTTGTTTTAAACACACTATCTCTTAAAGACAGTGGCTTTTAAAATTATAATTTTCTAATAATATATGTAGCCTATTAAATCTCTTGCAACATTATACAGGGAGACCCTGAAGATTTCTGGGCCACCCTGTACTTTAGAAATTGGATTTAAATTTAAAACAAAGCTATCTTTAAATCAATGGATTTGAAGGATTAATTTTTTTTTTCTGTAAGACATCATTTATGATTTGCTCAAAATCTTTTTGAAATTAGGTTTTTATGGTACACATTTTCTCTTTGCCATTTTGTTAATCTGGAATTTTTCTGTTTTCATATTCATCATATTGATAACATTCATCCATTTCACTTAAGTTTTCCATTTTTTTGGCACATACTTAGTCACAATAGTTTCTAATGCTTTTCTTTATTTCCTCTCCATTCTTTGTAATTCCTTCTCATTTTTTTTTATTTTGGTAATTTGGTTGTCTTTTGGAGGGGGCAGGAGATGGGGAAGATAAAATTAGTTATCCATTAAGCCTTTATTGAGGTCCTACTATGTGCTGGGCACTGTAGCAAGCTTTAGGAGTATAAATAAAGGCAAAAAACAAGGTCCTTGCTCAAGGAGCTCATGGTCTACTGGGGAAGACAACAAGCAAAGAATTATGTTTGACAAAAAGATATTCAGGACAAATTGGAACTAAAGGAAGGCACTAGCATTAATGGGGATTGGGAAAGACTTTCTATAGAAATGGGATTTTGTTGTTATTTGTACTTCATTCTAGAAGAGGACCGTGACAAGGAGGTGATGCCATGACAATTGGATTCAAATGAGGGAGGGCTGTGCAAAATCGCCAGCCTCACCTATTCCTCCAGGGTCATCTGGGTCCATTGGCCGGATATGGATCATCTGGACTACTGGAGATGGGACTTGAAGGAAGCCAGGGAAGCCAAGAGGCAGAAATAAGGAGGGAGAGCCTTCCAGGCATGGGGGACAGTCCATGAAAATACCCAGAATTGGGAGCTGATTGTGTATTTTATTAGTCATTGCAAAAAAGATAGCTCTCAGTTTTATTTATCTCAGTAGCCATTTTATTTTTAATCTTTATCTTTTTTCTGATTTTCAGAATTTCATTTTTTTAAAAATTTGTGGATTGTTGATCTTTCTTCTTTCTTTCTTTCTTTCTTTCTTTCTTTCTTTCTTTCTTTCTTTCTTTCTTTCTTTCTTTCTTTCTTTCTTTCTTTCTTTCTTTCTTTCTTTCTTTCTTTCTTTCTTTCTTTCTTTCTTTCTTTCGCAATCAGAATTGTGACTTGCTAGGATTGTCACATAGCTAGTAAGTGTCTGAGGCTGGATTTGAACTCAGCTCCTCCTGACTCCAGACCTAACATTCTCTCCATGGTGCCACCTAACTGTCCCTGATTGATTGATTTTGTAAAAAAAAGTTATATGTTCAATTCATTGATCTTTTCTTTCTTTTTTTTTTGCCTTTTGATATATTGTATTATAACTTATTTTTCTTTCCTCTCTCATAGTTCTATGAAATTTTGAATGAAATTCCTTGGTATTTGATCGTTCTCTTCTTGCAATATTTTTAATTTGACCTGGGAGTTATGGATCTTACCAGTCACACTCACGTATCATTATATCTAGGACTTCTTTCTGGAGGTGACCTGTGAATTCTTTCAGTTTATATGTTTCTCTCTGGTTCCAGTGCTTCTGGGCAGCTTCCTTTTATGACTTCTCTTACATTAATTAGGTTTTTGTTTTTTTCTTGGAAACTGGTGATTTGTCAGATTTTCTTCTCCATGCATCTTTCCCATTTCATTTGTTTTTTGACAGTCAGTATCTCATGTGCTTTTCAGTTTTTCTGAATTTTGATTTTTGCTCTAATATTTCTTAATGTATAATTGATTTTTGAATTTCACTTCCTCCATTCTTCTTTAGGTTATCCACTGATTCACTAAGGTAGCCCAGCTTCTGTTCTAAGCTGACTATTCTACTACTTCTATATGATAATAACAATAATAATAATAATAATAATAATAATAATAATAACTTTAATATAGTGCTTACTATGTGCTGGGCACTGTGCTAAATGCTTTGCAAGGAGTGCTTAAGTACAGGAGAGTAAAAAGGCCCTGGCACTTACTCATTTATTCAATCTCTCTATTGATTTTTTTCTGTGCTCTTCTGCTTCTCATGATAATTTCTTTCCTTTCCTCTATTTTCTTTCCTTTGTTCTTCTATTTCATTTGCACGTCGATTTCTGTTTTGAAGTTCTGAAGGAGAGAGAGCTAGACTTAGGCATGACCATATTCTGGGCACATATTCTTGTGTTGCCTCCAACCCCCAGGTGTTTTTTTTTCATGTAGACTATTTATCATCTAGCTGCACGTCCCCCATCCCACAAATGGGCAGGTTTTTTTTTTTAAAACCAAATGTAGGAAATGGTTATCCCTCTTAAATTCCATTTCATTAGTCTTGGTACACTGTTCTGACCTGATGAAATATTTTTGTTTCCAAGTTTTGTCATTCAAGTGATTTACTTTTCCTTTAGCTTTGAATTGTCTTCTGCTTTGATCAGTGTGGCCATCCATGCCTCCCCCAGGCCACTGGTAAAATTTCTGAAGCAGAACAAGTCCAGAGACCCATGCTTGGTGCGCTCTACTCCCAGGCTGACATTTAACCACTGGTCACTGGTCCTGTGGTTCTGTCATTCAACTGGTCACATCGCAGCAGGTTTTATTGATTTATTAGGTTGAATTTATCCTTTCTCTAATAGCTCTAGTTGGGATCGGAGCCTTAGGAAGCAGAGAATACTCACAGGAAAGAGAGAGGGGAGGATGAGGTTGGAGTCCTAACTATTACTGTCTTATTCCCTAGGTTTTCAAGTAGAAAATCCCCAAAGTAGCTAAGACTCTTGTGGAAGAAGAACTAAATTTGTTCTGCATTGATCAAGAAGAAAGAATTAGGAGCAAAAGGTGGAAAAGGAAAAGAGACATATTGAAACTTGATGTCAGGAAAGGCTTCTTTATCACTGGAACTGTCTTAAAGTGGATTGGGTTATCTGAGGATTGTTTCATTTTTGCTTGTGTATTCCCAGCACCAAGCAAAGTGCCTGGTACACAGTAGCAGCTTAATAAGTGCCGATGGATGGATTGGTTGGTTGACTGATTAAGGAAGTGGGTTCCTTCTCTTTGTAGATCTTTATGTAAAAGAAGGGTCACCACCTGTGGGTGTGTTATAGAGAGACTTCCTGGTGGCTGAGATCTCTTAAAACTCTGAAATTCTGTGGTTCAGTGGATCAAGCATCCTCATTAATCTCCAGGACTACTTGGCTCAACTAATTTGGCAAAAGATGCCTTTTGCAGCACAGACAGATGAATGAAGCCCTGTTTTCCTAGGCATAAGCCAGGAGACCCTTATTCCACGTCAGTACCTGAAGCCCCCATCCAGCGTACATGAATTCACAACATGGAGGGAGTAAGGTTAGACCATCAGATGGCCATGAGGAGTTAGCCAGCTATCAGAGTCCTGAAAAGAGCACATGGCAGTCGCATGTTCAGGGCACACACATTAGAAATAACCCAGGACCTCAGGCTGCAGATAAAACTAGGACCATGGCCAGTGGCCAAGATCCTTCTCACTGGTCGTTGATGACTTGGTTCAGGTGTGAATAGTGGTCCCACCTTTAACAAGCAGCATGTACTTGGTAGTTGGACATGCCTGCAGTGGAAGGAACACTTCAAGTACTCACTGAAAAAAGTCAGGGAAACAAAGAAAGACAGAAGGAAGATTGAGAGAGGTAGATGGAGAACGAGAAGAGGACAATGCCGCAGGAACTGAGGGAGGAGAACATTTCAGGTTACTGGTGGCTCAGTGTTACTGCGGAAGGAGGTCTCCAGAGGACTGCACCTGGTCCACTGTTCTTTTCCATTTTTATCAGTCACTTGGATAAAGGCATAGATGGCAAACTTATCAACTGTGCAATGGACCCCAAACTGGGAGGGATGACTTGCATTCAGGGTGACAGAATCAGGGACCACAAACCCAGTGCATGTAAGGATTGATGGAATGACTGGGAATGTTTAACCTGGAGAAGACTAAGGTGGGGGTGGGGAGGGAAGGGCAAGAGACTTAATGGCTGTCTTCTGGTATTTGAAGGGAGGGAGGATTAGACTTATTCGATTTGATCCCAGAAGGCAGAACAAGGAGCGATGGGGAATAATTTTTAAAAGGCAGATTTAGACTGAACAATCAGAGCTATCAAACTGTGGAATGAGCCACCTTGGGAGGTCGTGGGCCCCTCTTCATTGGAGGCCTTCAAGAAGAAGTTGAGATTGTACTACAAGGCCCCAAGAGGTCCCCTCCTAGTATGACATTTTGTCATTCTGTGAAATTTAACCACTATCAGGGGTGAGATCAGGTCAGTGAAGAACTAGGAAGTGTCCCCTGCCCTTGATGTTGGCCAATTCAGCCCAAGGGGTTCTACCTGTCTCCCTTCTCCACCCCCTACCCCCGGCCCCCAGATTTTGGGAATTTGTTTTAGACAGGTGGCTGCATTCTTTGTTCCAAGCAGGATTATCTATTGCTTCTTGGCCAATGTGAGCTAAGATCTCTAGCTAGGCATGGAGGTGGGGGCATGTTCAGATATAGCATCTTATCTGTGTATGTTACTCCCAGTTTGAAATCTCTTTCCCCCCAATCCCATGCCTATAACTAAATAGTTTCAGAGGATCACCTAGGAACACTAAGAGGCTGAGAAACTTGCCCAAGGTCACATAGTCGGTGTGTCAGAGGTGTGGTTTGGATCCTAAATCTTCCTGACTCCAAGGCCAATTGTCTGTGCACAATACCAAGGGTTCCCAAGCCAGAGTATCATCACTCCTAGGGCAGAGGTTCTTCATGTAAGTTCCATGAACTTGTTTTAAAAAAAATTTTTTTTTATATTTTCATTACTATACTTCTGCATAATTGGTCTTCTTTGTAACTGTATGTATTTTATCTTGTACATTTAAAGGCATTAGTTTGAGAAATGGTCCATGGATATCACTGGACTGCCAAAGGGGTCCAGGACACAGAGAAGGTTAAGAACTCCTGCCCTACAGGGTAATTCAGCCATGAGACAGATGAATGGAGAATCTTGCCCAAAGTGGTCCATTGGCATTAATACTCATTATAATAAATAACTCACATTGATGAAGCCCTTTAAGGTTTGCAAACATATTATCTCATTTACGTAAGTTAAGGGAATTGAAGTGATATTTTGGGCAGGCTTTGGATAGTACTGAGAAGACAGAGTGCAGGGTTAGGTGTAAAAATAGTGCAGGAGGGCACTGAGAAATGTGCCCTCCCGGCCCTTCCAAGTTGTTATTCCGCATGTGATGCTGGCGCCTGGTGCAGAGGGACCTCCTGCTTCTGCAGCCCTTTGATTGCTGCCTCCTTAGAAGAGAGGGAGAGAAATCCCTCTGGCTGTTTCCCGTGAAGCTTTGCTTGGAGTCTTGCTCTTTCCTGGCTTTCTTGTCAGTCATGGTGCCCTGCTTCTGGGACTCTGGCTGAACCCACTCCCCTGTTTCCCAGCTCCTGAGTGCCATGCCTTCTAGCCGTGCCTCCGGTGGCTTCTGCGGGCTGCAAGTCCTTTACAACTCAGCTGGTAATTCTGCTGTTGAGAAGCCAACAGTCCTATAACACTAGGCTGTGCCTTTGTATTTGAACACTCGATGCCTCTCCCCATGGCCCCTTTCATATTGCCATCTCATGTTAACCCTCAACCCTCAGAACTGGCTGCTATGACAAGTGCAATAATATTTCTTGTCTTGCCCCCACAAGGATAGCAAACAAACCAAACTTTTAAACGAACACTTCCAAGAATGTTTGAAAATAACCCACTTTTCCAGATGTTTTGTCCTCTCAATCCCAAATTCCTAGGGATCAGGACTGGGCTTGTAAATTCATGAATATGGGGAAATCCCAGGTGGACAAACTCCTGCTACCAATGCAGGTTGGCACCTTTTCTCCCAATTTCAGTCTTAGAGAGTTGGCCAGGTTAAGTGTCTTGTCTAAATCTCCTCTATCCTAAAAGAAGAACCCTCCATTCCCCTACCATCCCATCATGCAAGCAACCAAACACTTAGTATACATTCTTCTATCTCTTCTGCTTTTCATAGTTAAACTCTTAGGAAAGGCTCTTGTCTGTTGTCTCACTGGCTCTCCTTCTCTCACTTCTCAACTTTTGCAGTCTGGCTTCTCATCTCATCATTCAATACATTTTCAATTCCATCCAATTAAAAAAGAGAAAAGAACAAAAGGACTGGTTTTTGAAGATGAACATGGTACTGACGTGGAAACGTGTGTGGCAGAGGGTGCCTCTGGTGTGACGTTTACATGCCTTTTAATTTTCTAGGTCATGTTGCTGTATGCCTTTAACACCAAACCTGTCAAGATTCATGACGCCCTGGAGTTCAATAACAGTGGCGTATATTCTGGATCTTTCTGGCTTCCTCTGAACAAGTAAGTGAAGCAGGCTTATCTGTGACATTGGAACATTCTGATGCTATCTTGAATGTCTTTTTAGGCAGGTAGGGTGAAGAGAATTCTGATGGAGTCAAATGTTAAATTGGAAGCGATCTTAGGATTTCTGCAATGGAACATTTCTAGGTGAAGAAGCAGATGCCCAGAGATGTAAAAATGACTTGACCAAGACCAGAAAGCTCATTAACGATGGGTCTCTGACTTCCACGAACAAGCTTTTTCCATGACACCATAGTGGTCGGCCAATCCAGTTACTGCAGGATGGTTAGCTGGGTTATATTTTGCCTTTTGTCTTTAACTGAGGTCAGGAAATTTCAATAGTTCATAGTCCAGAGTGGTGGTCACAAACATTTTTTTTTATGCAATTGGGGTTAAGTGACTTGCCTGGGGTCACACAACTAGTAAGTGTCAAGTGTTTGGTCTGAGGCCAGATTTGAACTCAGGTCCTCCTGACTTCAGGGCCGGTGCTCTATCCACTGTGCTACCTAGCTAACCCTGTCACAAACATTTTTGGTCCTACTCTCCTCACCCCGCAGGTCCAATCAGTCACCATACTCTTGACATCTCTTGCTCCATAGCATCGCTTACATCCAGGAATGAGATGGAGCCACTTCATACCAGCTCTTGTCGTTGTTAAATTCTCTGTGAGCATCTATACCTCAGAAAGCAGCAAACTGCAAATCAGAGCTCGGTTTTTTGGTTTGTAGATTGACTAGACTTAAGAAAGTGATAGAGAAAATGTTAATGGTGCACGTTAAATTTTAAAATGTACTGTGCACATCCTTGTTTGTATCTTAGCCCTTCTTTCCACTCCCACAGTCACCACTTTCATTCAGGCCCTCATCTCCTCTGGCCTGGACAATTACCATAACCTCCTAATTGATCCCCCTGCCTCTCTGCTTTCCAGTTCATCCACCATGTAGCTGCCACAGTGGTTTTTCTTAGTTGCATGTCTGCCCATCTCATTCCCCTGTTCAATAAACTCCATTTCATATCCTCTGACTTCCCATACCCTTTATCCATCCAATCCTCCTTTCTTGAAGGGCCAACTCAAGGGTTAACTCTTTCATGGATCCTTTCCTGACCTCTAAAATTCATGTAATACTTTCTTGCTGTGGAAGAGGTAGGTGAACATGAATACTGTGGATTTTGAAGAATTGTTCTCTCCAGATACTCTGAGTTCAAGGAAACTGAACCAAAGGGTACCTACTTCACTTCTCTCCTTATTGGCTAAGGCAGGATGAACAAGAATGATGCTATTTTTAAAGGGGCCCTCACCATCTTTGAGATTGCCTGTCAATACAGAGAATTTTGTTCAGATTAACCACAGAGGAAATGTATTTCCCACAAGAACAAAGCTGACCTTTAGCAAGTCCTGTGATGCCTCCCCCTCCAGTTTTACGTGCTCCCCCCATTTCTTTCCTGCCACAGAATGCAGCTGACTAGCTGTGTTTTGATGCAGGCCTTAAAATCTGTAAAACCTGACCTGTACCTAAGAAACTGAAGCCGCCTTCAGTCCAAACAGTCTTCCTTAATGAACAAAATGCATTTCTTTTCCTTTCAGTCTGGCTATTCACTTTTTGACCCCTGAGTCCTGCAAAGCTTCTGGGGCCCTAGTGGAACTCCTGTGATCTTACCTAAACCTACCTCTATTTGGGCACTTTCTCACAAACTAAGATTATAATTTACGTGTTTCATATCTATCCTATCTCCCGAGGTGATTATAAATCCTTTGTGGGCAGAGACTGCGCATGATAATTACAATATGGAAAGACAGTGTGGTATAGTAGGTAGGGTGCTGGATTAACAACAATAATAATAATGATACCTGTATCACTTTAAGGCTTACAAAGCACTTTACAAATATCATCTCATTTGATCCTCATAACAATCCTGGGAAGACTTATGGTCTGGTCCTAGCTATTAAGTGACTGACTCTTTTTGACTCACAGTTCACTCTGTAAGATGGGCCAATACGTCCAGCTGTCCTTGCCTGTGAAGGATGCTGAGGCAGCTGTTGGCATGGTGGATGAAGTGGTGGTCCTAGAGACAGGAAGACCTGAGTTCAAATCCTGAGACATTTATTAGCTGTGTGACCATGTCACTTAATCATTCTCAGCCTCACTGTCCTCATCTATAAAATGGGGATGATAACAGTGCTTTTTCTCCACGAGGAACAAAAGAAATAATATGTGTGAGGTGTAGAATATACGTGCAGCTTTGCCAACCCTAAAGCTCTAGCTGATTGTTGGATGTTATCATTGCTGTTGCTGTTGTGAGAGCCTGATGAGGCCACAGAAGTGAAAGCCCTTTGAAAGCAATTAATGAGTTGCCTCCCTAGTGCCCAGCATAGTATCTTGCATGCCACTAGCACCGTGAATTAAATTTTAAATTCCCTAAATTATGAAGTTTCCCCCTCCCTTCCTTCCCTGAGGTGCTGTCTTCCTGCTCTGCGGTTCTCGTTTTTTGAAGCACTCTTCAGCATAGACCTCCAATGTAATAAAACAAAGGCTATTTTTTGAGGTGGTATAGCTATCCATTATTCAGTGAAATGGTGGGAAAACCTGGGTGTAGGGTATTCACAAGCAGAAATAATCAACATAATATAGAAATTAGGCACCATTCTGTAATATTTGTTACAATTTCTAGCAGCGGTCCTGGTTTGGCTGTGTGCCCTTATGAATGCATGTCAAAGGCCATCCACAGTTCCTGCCTTGTAGAATATAAACAGAAGGTAGAGGGAATCTCGTCTTTGCTTCCTAAAGGTTTTTAAGAAATGTAGCAAATCGAGACAACTGGATGTATTCTTAACCTTTGAGCGCAATAACAAAGGTTGAAGTGACCACGTCTCCTTATTAGTGTAATAGAAAATGGCAGTCAACTAGGGGTCAGAAGGCAGGGTTTGAGCAAGACAGAATACCTCTCAAGACTCCATAGTAGAAAGAAGTGCCAGACTTGAGTTCAGGAGACCCAAGTTCAAATGCCATCTCTGACCCTCCTGGCTATGTGTCTATGACACACTACCACCCAGGTAGAACCTTCCTTTTCCTTCTGTTTAAGCAAGATGGAGTATGACCTTGGACTCTCTTACACTTCTGAACTCCTTTTGCTGAGGCTACAAGCTTCTTCCGCCGCATTCATCACCCCCCTTCAGCCCATTTGCCTCCTCACCCATATTTCCTCACTCACTTTCATGTTCAACACCAATATGGACGTTTGAGGACCCCGAAGACCCAACTGACTTCTGGTTAATTGACGTGTTGGTAGATTGGCACGTGCTCACTTTGAACATAAATGTCCTGATATACTTTCCTGCATTTATTTCATAAGGTTGCTGATTACAGATTTTACCCCTGTTGCTTTTAGAGTTATGGCCTTACATGGAAAACTATCTGGCCTTAGGCAGCAAGCTGAAATGTTGTTATACACGTGTCCATTGTCTCCAGAAAGAAGGACGTCATCACTCAGTTCTTCTCCAAAAATCTTCCCAGATCTCCCTGAAAATATCGTGCTCACTAAAGAAATGAAGGCAAGTAACTAACAGAGATGTTAGATGGACCAGTGTCATGTTGCTGTGATGTATCACTTGGGAAGTTTGGATGGGCATAAATTGCCTTTATCAGAGCAGAAACAACTAGTTTCCATCAATCTAAACCAGGAGTTCTTAACCTTTTTTTGTGTCATAGACCCCTTTGGCAGTCTAGCAAAGCCTATGACCCCTTCTCGGAATCATGTCTTTAAATGCATAAGATAAAATATATAGAATTACAAGAGAAACCAATTATATTGAAATATAGATATAATTTTTTCCTATCCAAATTCACAGGCCCCTTGAAATCTGTCCATGGGCTCCCTCCCTCCTAGAATAATGTCTCTAAATAATTGAAGATGTTAAATCTTGAGGTTAGTGAAAATAAGGATGTACATTTTTTTTAAGTGAGGCAATTGGGATTAAGTGACTTGCCCAGAGTCACACAGCTAGTCAGTGTTGTGTGTCTGAGGCCGAATTTGAACTCAGGTCCTCCTGACTCCAGGGCCAGTGTTCTATCCACTGTGCCACCTAGCTACCCTGATGTACATTTTTCCCATGGGCCCCCTAAAATGTATCTGTGGATTCCAAACCCATTGGCTACGCAGGTTGCTTCCTTTCTCCCTCTGGAAGAACCAGTTAAGACATAAATTTTTGGAAAGGGAGTCCATTTCCTCCAGACTTCCTTTCAGAATGTCAGTAGCATTTCTGCTAGAGTCACTGGATACAATTGGATCCAATCCGTAGAAGACACTTCGCTCCCTTATTTTGACTGTCATGAGAAGAGGCCAGTCTTCCCTTGTGTCACTCTTTTCCAAAATGCACACCATTGTCACTGCTTTGACTCTCTTAGCAGGGCTTGACTTCATCCCACTCTCAATTACTGTGAACCTACCATTTGCTAGAAATTCTCAGAGACTTCTCTAGTGGGACTTGCCTGTGGTGTTCAGTGTCCCACTCTTCTCCATACTTTTATTCTTTAAATATTTCTGTTCAGATGTAGTCATTCTTGATTCTTGCGTTAGACTCTTGGTGTTTTAAGCTGGGCTTTGCCGATGAGATGAACTAATGCATTTTTGTATTTATTCAAAAACAGCAGTAGAAAGATTTGCAGGAGGCAGTCTCATCCCTTTAAAAATACCTCCTGTAACCAACAAAGGCTCCTGGGCCCTATGCTGAGCCAGGGGACTGATGGCCTGGCACTTGAAGCTTTGGAATGTGCATCATTTTCTATACCACCGATAATTACAGCAGGGCATCCCAAAGGTTTAATTAATGGTGCCCCAAGTGAAGATAGTAAATAACACCCTCTTTCCCAACAGTCAGATATCTATTTCATGTCCATTATTTTTGAAAAAAGTACAGAGTTGCAGAAAATGTTCATTTCACATCAGTTCTCGGGGAGAACATTAGCCTCTTCCAGATTTCACACAAACTCCCTTTGCAGGACAACTAACAGTGATAATAAGCCTGATATAACATTCTAAGAGTCATTATTGATTGCTTGCATTTCTATAACACTTTGAAGCTTACAAAACTTTTCTCACAACAATAGTGCAACTTAGGTTAAGTAATATCTCTAGTTTACAAATGAGGAAACTGAGGCTCAAAGAGAGTCATGAGACCAGAGATTTAGAGCCAGAAGAGACCTTAGAGATAATCAGATCCAACCCCCACTTTTTACTGATGAAGAAAATGAGATATGAAGTGACTTTCCCCGGGTCTTGGAGCTGATAAGCATGGGGTGAGATTTGAACCTTGGCCTTTCCTATTTCGAGTTTGGTGCTCTATCCATTACACCAGGGGTGTCAAACATGGGTTGTCCACAACACTCCCAAGTGTGGCCCAAACCAGATTAAAATGTAATTGGGAAATATTTAACAAAATAAATAAAAATACAGTAGAACATAAATAATGTGAATATGTGGTTTTCTAAGTCACTATGCAGCCCACAAAGATTCTTATATATGGCTCAGTGTCCCCCATTTCTATGTGAGTTGGACAATACTGCCTTCTACACCATACTCACCATGGCCCCTAAGTATAAAGGTGTCCCTTGTCAGTCCCAGATCAGTTTTCATCTCTTCCCTTGGAGCTTCATGCCTGATTGGTGACTCTCCCCTGGATGCACTAACTGCCTTTGATTTCCTCTTGGACTGGCCAGAGTATAAGATCATTATTTAAAGAGAACTCCCTGTTTATTTGAACAAAAATCCAGTTAATGTGTTAACGTGAAATAATAAACCCTGTTATACCTTGGAGGAAAAAAAAGTAAATATCAGTAGTAAGTATCAGGGCCTGAATTTGAGCCTGGATCTACACTGAACAGGGGTAGGGAACCTGTAGCCTCGAGGCCACATGTGGCTCTCTAGGTCCTCAAATGCAATCCTTTGAGTTCTCCACCCCTGATCCTAGAACCTTCCCTATGTTTTGTTTTCCCATTAAGAGGTGAGCTCCATGAAAGAAGGGACTATCTCTTCTTTTCTATTTGTATTTGTATGGGGTGTTCTGGGAGGAAGTCCCTCTAGTGTGAGGGCTGCTGAGCCCTTTCCAGGATTTCTCATCCACCTTTGGTGTCCTCCCTTTATCCAACCTTCACCCAGGGCTCCAAGAAACTATAGCCACACCCTGGTAAAACCTTCTCCAAAGATGGGCTGAACTACGTGGAAGGCAACTCATAGTCTCAAACCCATTAGAGACTTTGGGGGCTGTCAACCCCAAGCATGCTAAGACTTCCCCCAGCAAAATGGGCAGATGATCAGATGAGAACAGTTTGTTCCAGCAGCCATGACGGCAGCTGAAACAGGCATTTTGGAGCACGTAGAGCTTGGTCAGATATCAAGGATGCCACACGAAGTTCATCCGCTACATCCCGGACCATCACCAGTCATCCTGACTTTTGTCTTGCCACTGGTGTTTGATGACTCTAGAAGAGATAATCAAGCTGATGACTGTGCATCTCTGCCTCACTTAAATCCAATCCACACACAAGTCAAGACATCACCCATCATATCATTGGTCCTCTTCAAAATGAGTAATCCTTGGCACAGTGCTTTGCACATAATAAATGCTTCATTCATCCATTCATTGATTTATATTTTCCACCTCCATCTCACAGTCTCTGTCCATTGTATTTCCTCTATTAATGCATACTCCCTTATTTTAAAAGTATTTTAACTCTTTTGGACTCAGAGGGGAGAGCATGATGAGATTTAGGGTCATAGCCCAGGGCTTTCTTTTCTAAGCAGGTTCTGAAGTCCACTATCAACAGTCATCTCAACTTTTCTAGTTGTGAGCCAATTTATCTTTCCAGCTCAAAGCATTAGGAGAGGCAGTGAAGCTTAGGGCAAAAAATACAGAGGACCAAGAGTCAAACAATTCCAGTTTGCATCCTTATTCTATCCTCGATCAGCTACATGACCTCTCTGGGCCTCAGTTTCCTCAACTACAAAATGACAACAGAGGTGGAGATGCTTTCCAAGATCCCTTCTTATTCTTATGGGCTATTCTCTGTTTTCTGCAGTTGTTTAATCTCCCAACTTTGATAAAGGTTTTTGACCTTTTTCTGTGTTCTGGACCCATTTGGCAGTCTGGAGAAGCCGATGGCCCCTTCCTCAGAATGTTCCTTTTGCACTTACAATACCCTTATACACTTATCAGACTATTTTTAAAAATCAAGTTCACAGATCCTTAGGTTAAGAGCCCCTACTCCAAGTTATATCAATTAAAAAAACTGGATAAGTGAAAGAGAGTGGAGTAACATTGTATATTAAGAAGATTCTCATGGAAGGAAATCCAGAAACCAGACAGAAGTGTGGTGGAGGACATTGCGGTAAAAATTGATGGAAGCAGAAACAGAAGCAATTTTACTGTCTCAGTATACTATAGACCATCTGAACAGAAGGAAGAAATAGATAAGGATCTTAGGAAACACCATAATCTGATACAAAGACATGACTCAATAGTGACAGGGGACTTCAATTATCCAGAATCTATTAGAGCTCTGACAAAAGAATAGCAGTTGAGAATTTCTTGATTTGCCTTAAGGATTAAGTGATCTTTCAAAAAGTGAAGGGAAAAAACAAAGAGGAAAAATATATTCAGAATCCAATTCTTACTAATGAGGATGAATGGGTTGCTTGGAAGAACATGATGGGAACCTTGAGGAAAGTGACTAATTGATCAGTAAATATTTATTAAGCGCCTGCTATGTAGCAGACACTGTGCTAAGCACTGGGCACTAACTCAGGATTTGTGATAAAGAAGGAGAGGAAACCTGGGCCATCTGATATGTACTCTGACTTTGGGGAAAGAAGATGTCACAGGCTTCAGAGGAAGGAAGAGTTGGATTGCATGGAAGAAAACTCTACAGGAAAAATCAGCCCAGGGAGGGTGGCAAATTCTCAAGGCATGAAAGAAAATTATTCCAAAGAGGAAAAATGCAATGTGAAACCACAAAGAACTCCCCTACCAACTTAAAGTTTTAAAACAGACATGTAGAAAATGAAAGCAAGGGTAGGTACTGGAGAATGACTACCCAAACATGCTGCAGTAGAAGTAATGTCCTAACTCTTGTCCCCTTGCTATTTTCTCCCTAAAAAGTCCTCTAGACTGTCCTGGTCCTAGAGACTGTCCTCTAGACTGTCCTGGTTCTAGAGACTGTCCTCTAGACTGTCCTGGTCCTAGAGACTGTCCTCTAGACTGTCCTGGTTCTAGAGACTGTCCTGGTTCTAGAGACTGTCCTCTAGACTGTCCTGGTCCTAGAGACTGTCCTCTAGACTGTCTTGGTTCTAGAGACTGTCTTCTAGACTTGCTTGGCTTAAGTGAACTAAAGGCTTAGGTTGTTAACATCTTGTTACCATTGTCCAACTACCAAACTGCCACAGGGAACTCCAGTTGCTCTCTCTGATGCTTGGTTTGTGGGAAATGGGCAAAGCAGGGATGGAAGCTTCACTCAGCTGAATCGGCTTATCTTCATTGCCTGTCCTTTTTTATTTTTA